GTTAATGCGTATGCATAAACATGTCAACAATGCCCATATTTGGTCATATATCAATATTCATGTGCAACCAGATTTTGCAACCGGTTTCAGTTTGGTCTGTCAACGAACGAAAGTTGCTATGTATTTACACTTAAATATATTTTAACGTGGGTAATAAATAAAATACCACACTCATTCTCGTTAGATACCATTTTTACGAAACTCGTGAACTTTCTATGGTATCTGACCTCGCTTTCGCTCGGTCAGATACCATTGAAAGTCCACTCGTTTCGTAAAAATGGTATCTAACGAGAATGAGTGTAGTATTCTCTATATACGTTACGAAGTACGTACAATTGGGAAGCTTTCGTCTAAGAATACATTATGTAAGACTAGAAACTAGAAAGATTACTCGTCCCTCTTAAACAGTGCTGGCAACAGGGCGAAGGACAGGTCCATTTCGAAGGCAGCCCTCACAACAAAGCATAAGTACGTTACCAAGGCAATCGATGCCTTGAAATAGGATCTCGAGACATTTATAATAAATAAATGTAAGCATTGCTATGGGCCGATATCTCTTCCCGAAAGGCCGTTGTTATATATTTATCCATCGTTTGATTCATAATAATAACTTAATTACGTACTTAGATGAAAGATTGCTTGTAATATATTCTAAACCACGGATGTGTAATATCATCGGTGGAGCCGCATGTAAACGATCCGTCGTCTGATGTCCGCTTTAAATAATTAAAGAACGCAGTACAAGATTCTACTGTGACAAATATTGATCCATTTAAACGTATGAATGTCACACAAATATATTCAAGTCCTAACTTGTCCAAGACGGACGAATCTTTTGAACGTATATATTATCGGTCTGGTACAGACAGCGATCCACATAGACGAGGCACACCATGATGTTTATTCCGCCCGTCAGTCATGCATGGCGGTCCTTCTACACACGACCTGCCTTCATGGTGATCACGGCATGTGGAATACTTGTCATGGAAAGGAATACACGTATTAAATACACTAACCATGCTTAGTCCCAGTGCTGAAATTATTACAAGGCCACATATTATAATCACAGCATAGAGGGCTGTCCTTACAATGAGGATAAGACGAGCCGACATCATGAACCGAGATTCCGTTTTGCCGCCAGGATTGGAAGTGTTGACCAGAGTTATCTCCCTTTGGAACACAATTGAACAGGAAACAAACTTGTAATTAATGGATGTATAGTTGTCGCGATAACATAAGAGAAGTGTCTGTTGTGTGTTTCCATGTGTTAACACATACAAAAGAATCAACAACACTATATTTGTGCCTCGAGTCCTCTGGGGCTTTATTACCTAAACTGATAACGAATGGCACTTTCCCGTATTTACGCATATTTACACATATTAACTGATTAAAGCCCCGATTTCCCTTTGTACATATATTTATTTCCATGGTTACTTTAGCTGAAAACAGATGATATAACCTGGGCATGACTGATGTGTTGACCTTACCAACTTTGGATTTCGTTTGGCATGCGTCCTTAAACAACCGGCTTTCATCCCACACCGTGCTATTATCTACTTCTGGTTCCGCATCTTATTATTACCTGGATATTGCTTGGATGTTGCTGAGTGCGACGTTAAAATGTTACCAGCAACAAAAGCAAGAGGCAGTAAAATCCTCTTTTCACAGACATATCTTGACGAATGTAAACACTATTCCATTAATATCTTCTTGGTGTTGAGTGCGACGTTAAAATGTTACCCGCTACAAAAGCAAGAGGCAGTAAAATCCTCTTTTCACAGACATATCTTGACGAATGTAAACACTATTCCATTAATATCTTCTTGGTGTTGAGTGCGACGTTAAAATGTTACCCGCTACAAAAGCAAGAGGCAGTAAAATCCTCCTTTCACAGACATATATTGACGAATGTAAACACTATTCCATTAATATCATCTTAATGTTGAAGGAAGGGGCCGATGCTGGTATTCGACATTTATCCCTTTAGTTGAAACCCACGCGCACTTCCAGATGATTGAAAGAAGAAGAAAGCTGTTTGGGTTAATGAAACTGGAAACAGTTTCTTTTACATGTCAGATAATGGAATATTAATCCCTAGAAAGAAATATGGCAAGTTCATCAGTGGAATTTTGAGGACTGGTTACCGAAAATATATACAGTTAAATACGTTTATAACGAACACGCTTATAACGAACTGACGGATATTTCGAACTTAATTTTTGGTCCCAGCCATTTGCTGTGTAGATGTTGTATTACATATATGCTTATAACGAACTACGGTTGTAACGAATGACAATGGTCCATTTGAGTTCGTTATAACCGTAGTTTACTGTATTCAAACACGAACTCGACTTCGATGACAGCGATGACGATGTGCTTGCTGCTCAGCTCCCCAGGGCCGCATGGGTGAGCGAGTATGATTCTACGCCGCTTTTAGCAATATTTCAGTAAATTGCACGACGGGGGACACCAGATACCTGACTTTAAAAGTCCAGTTTCCACCCTTTTCGAACTAGGATTTTAATATGGATTATCTTTTTGGCTGGACTAACGAGTCTATGCATAGTCCAATCTAAATCCCGTAACGAAATCGACACCCGACTCATAAACAACATGGCAAACGTGCCGAATTTGTTCGATTGTATGCGCGCCAGTGGAGTAGCCAAGTGGTTAAAGTGTTCCATCGTAACGCCGAAGACCCGCGGGTTCGATTCCCCACGGGGGTTCAATGGGTGTCCCCCGCCGTGATATCGCTGGAATATTGCTAAAAGTGGCGTAATACAATACTCTTTCGATTGCAGGATTTGCAGAACATGTGTACCGTCAACTGTAGCCGAGAGCGGCGATGGGGTCCTACCAGGTGATGTAGGGTCATGTCTTGACTGTAGGACCCCATCGCGGCTCTCGGCTACGTCAACTGGGCATCGGCAGATATTTTCAACATGTTTTCATGTTGTTTTTTTATCAAGGTGCTCCAGTGATGTGATGCTGACTTTACTGTCGATGAGATCGTCTTGACTAGGCGCCGCCATTTTGTATGAAGCAAATGCAAGTGATCTGAGAGGTAGAATCTGATTGGTCAGTTGGGGGGATATAGAAAAGACATAACTCGTGATAACCAGTGGTGGTGCTACGATCAAGCCCGGAAATTCGAGCTTTGTTCAACAAGGGTGGAAACTGGACATTTAAGGTCAGTTAACGCCCTTGCCTCGGAAAGATAGCTAGCTTGATGTTTGTCATTTCGTCACCACACTCGCAAACTTTTTCCGTAACGACAAACACATGGTAATATCAGATTGGCTTCAATGTTACACCCTTCCGGTATATTTATAGCTGAAACCTGGAGAGGAACTTAACTCATTTCTCAGGGGATTTTATGCGGAGGTCAGAACGAAAACTGGAAAAGAATCTTCCAAGTCCGCCATGACTTTGACTCATCCAGACACGTCAATCAATTGATAATAGTTTTTCACGTGTTATATTTTCGCATTGAAAGTCAAGCAAGCATTTCATGACATATTTTTATCTATAAGTGTTCTTTTCAAAAATGAAATTGTTAATAAACGTATGTAATTTGTTGAATGGACTGAGGAAGATGTGATGCATCGCCTAGTTTGTGGCAGGTGCGCTGGGTAGGAGGGTGCCTTTGTTCCGGCACAAGATAAAACTGGAGGCGAGTACTACCGCGTCTGATAGAGTCTGCATGATAGAGCACATCCCGATGGCGTTGACAGCCACGAGAAGGAAGAGAGTCACGGAAGTGTCAAACATGGTAACAATTGCCCGGTTAAGTTTAAGACTGTAACTTCCTTGTTAAACCAAATCGTCCCGTGAAGATTCCGGAGTAGAATAGGTCTTCAGCAACCCATGCTTGCCGTAAAAGGTGACTATGCTTGCCGTAAAAGGAGACTAACGGGATCGGGAGGTCAGGCTCGCTGACTTGGTTGATGCATGTCATCGATCCCAATTGCGTGGATCGATGATCATGATATTAATTACTGGATTGTCTGGTCCAGATTCGATTATTTACAGACCGCCGTCATATAGCTGGAAAATTGCGTTAAACAACAAACCAACCAACCAACGTTAAACCAAATCAAACATGTACACAAAAAATTCAGCGCCCCTTTTTTCAAATACAAAGCCGGATTGCCTGTATTCTCAGCAACCAATTGGTGAAAGACGTCTCTTAAGTAAGGGTCAAGCAATGAGGGGGAACTGCTTTTCAGCAGTTTCTGGCTTTGTCATCACCATACCCATACTGATGGTTTCACCAATGCGGTAAACATCTAAAACCTGCATCTCTTCGGGCTTTCCTTACACACGCCGTGATATAGCTGAAATACTGTTAAAAGCGGCGTTAAAATCCAACTCACCCCCTCACTGATTATACGTGTGCGTGCGTGTATATGTCCCCATTTATTTACCAAGTGTTCTTTCCTATTGAAGGTAAAGGCGAGGCTTACAATTATGGCATGTTACTCCTAGTCCTGTATCCGTCGTCACAAATCAGCAGAAAGTAAGCTGGTTCTAACTGATGCTCTTTCCGCACTTGGAATATCTAACACGAAACAGTGAAAGACTAAAATATCGAAATCAGAACAATGATAGTTTCAAGCAGCAGCATTTAAGAAATATTGGTTATGCCTGTTGAAAACCACAAAAACTATTTTATAAGAAAAACGTACAACTTTATGGATAACAACGTCTGGTTTATTGCATATAGCGACGTTTCCATGTAGATTATAACACCGTTATCATGGAGTTATCATGGTGTATGAATCTACATCGAAACGTCGCTATATGCAATATACCAGGGCCCACTTGCACAAAACGATCTTAGCGCTAAAATGATCGTAATTCCCATACATTAACACAGCCTTACGATAGTCGTAGTGCTAAGATTGCTTTGTGCAAGAGGGCCCAGAATTTGTTATCAGTAATGATGTTCGTTATTCTAACTTATTTGCCAACTAGAATGCCAATCAAACAGTTACTACTTTATAAACACCAATGTAATTATTTTATTAAATATACATGTCCGGTTAGTCAGAAGAACAAAGAATCTTGATAATCCATTTGAGTTGTGACAAATACGTAAAACCACAATCGAAATCACCACAGTTAAGTAATGGCATCTTCTACTGATTCCTACCAGACAGCAGCGGGCGTTGTTTCTGTGAATACTGATTTACTTTGTTTAAAGAGATGATGCCACCATGTACGGAGGGGGAGAAGGCTTCACACATTGATCAACGTGGAGATTCGACCACAGAACTTCTGCCGATGAGCGACGAACTATCGGTTTAGCTACACCAACGCCACAACGAGTAACGGGTGTCTGGTTCAGCGGATGCTGGATGCTGCTAGCACACACCACTGGAATGTCCCAGCGGTCATCTAGAATCTTTCAAGAGCTTCTTGGGAAGGCGTGGAGGGGGGATTTTTAGGTGATGGTGAACCGGACCGAAAGCACAGTCGGCCATTCCTCCGCAGCACGAGCAATCCCCCAATGAATTGGAGCAACCATCCGATGACCGCTGCCCAAGCTCCTCTCTGGGTCATAAGAAATACATACAACTGGTATTGAGTGCATCGTGCAATTTACTGAAATACACAAACCGAGGAGCAAAAGAAATTATACCTCTCAGATAATGTTATCATATGTTTGATTTTCAATTGAAAATATCTTAAGTTCGCGTATTTTATTTTTTAAAATTAACTTTAGCTGCGTTTAGTCAGCACTTCAGGAATAGTTCTACATGGATTTATTTTTAAAAATATTATTTGACTTTAAACTTTTAAAAAATAAATTAATAAAGGAAATTCACATAATTCACAACTGGTGATGGGAATTGAAGACATCTTATCTTTGAAAATCAATACAATACACTTACAAATTTTCAAACATGGTAGGAGTCATGTGGTTACAAATTCATTTCTTACCCCAGTCTTTATTGAACCACTTTATTTGTTTATACAATTACCCAGTCACAGATTACTTTTTACAAACTGTTGCAGGAATGTGTGGTGTTTAAATATACATAATCACATTTAACAACAATTGTTTAAAAAACCCAACTAGGTATACTTTCTTTTACCTCTCGGATAATACTGTTTAACTTAAACATTTCAAATTTTAATCAGGTTTTACCTACCATCTGTTTTAACATTGCGATCAGTAAAGCAACACATCCCTAGGAGTTCCATACAAGACTCCCTTCTTATTCCGACAAGAAGATTTGGTCGGGTCACATGAATGTATAATGACGTCTAATTTTTCATTACCAGGGTAACAGAATCAAACCCCAACTGGAATGATGACCTGACCGCTGTACTACCCGAACGAGTGACCCATATGTACTTCTTGGACGGCAGAATGTTACAATATCTGACCGACGTCACAGCACTGAAGTAAATTTCGGGCTAGAATTGGTCCCCAGCAACCCATTTTTGTCGCAATCTCCTTAAAATCAGATCTAAGTTCTCGCTACCGCTAAAGAAAGATCGGAAGACATCCCATTGCGGGTCATGTCAGAACGACCTTTCATCTGACCAATCAGAGCATCGCTTATCAGATCATGAAAGTGGCAGTTGGAATGTGATTTTTGATGTGCAACCTCGAAAAAAACCACAGGGTATTCCGAAAGACAGTTATGGGCTTCATGTTATCTTACAATCTAGACGATCTATTAGCCATTCTAGAATGTTCTTTTGTTCAGTTTTTATTTATTTTAATCGAGAATATGTCAGAATATGTCTTGAAGCGTAGCTAGTCGCCAGTTTGATACTCGTGCCGTAAAGCTCGAATAAGCTGCCTTCTGATTGGCTATTGTCGACTTCTTGTCAGTCATTCAATTAGACGGTCAATGTTCGCGAAAGGTCGGTCTGATGTGACCCGTAATGGGATGCCCTCAGATCTTTGTTTTGCGGTAGCGAGAACTAAGATCAGATTTTATTGATTGGTTGGTTTGTTGTTTAACACCGCACTCAGCAATATTCCAGCTATATGACGGCGGTCTGTAAATAATCGAGTCTGGACCAGACAATCCAGTGATTGATATCATGAGCATCGATCCACGCAATAGGGATCGATGACATGTATCATCAAGTCAGCGAGCCTGACCACCCGATCCCGTTATTCGCCTTTTATGGCAAGCATGGGTTGCTGAAGACCTATTCTAATCTTCACGGGTCTGATTTTAATGAGATTGTTTTTGTCGTAATAGGCGACGAACGGCTGGCCATTACTTGACATCGTATCCCAATTGCGTTGATCGATGCTCATGATTTTAATCATTGTATAGTCTGGTCCAAATACACGTATTACAAACCGCCGTCTGTATTACAAACACTGCTGAATGCTGCGTTCAACATCAAATAGCAAAACGACGAGAAGTTATCAAAGTGTGACGTTACGAACGAAGGATGATGTCACATTGTTCTGCTCTCATTTATACAGCAGTAAGGGCGGTCGGGTAGCCTAGTGGTTACAGCGTTCGCTCGTCACGCCGAAGACCCGGGTTCGATTCCCGACATGGGTACAATGTGTAAAGCCCATTTCTGGTGTCCCCCGCCGTGATATTGCGGGAATATTGCTAAAAGCGGCGTAAAACCATACTCACTCACTCACTCACTATACAGCAGTATGGCGACATATTGCATGAACTGCCCAACCGACTTTCAGAGGAAAGTTTGTTTGTTGTTTAACGCCGCACTCAGAAACATTCCAGCTATATGACGGCGGTCTGTAAATAATCGAGTCTGGACCAGACAATCCAGTGATTGACATCATGAGCATCGATCTACGAAATAGGGATATGATGACATGCATCTACCAAGTCAGCGAGTCTGACCCCCCGATCTCGTTAGTCGCCTCTTACGACAAGCATAGTCGCCTTTTAAAGCAAGCATGGGTTGCTGAAGACCAATTCTAACCCGGATCTTCACGGGAAAGTAAAATGCACTGGCAGACATCTCGGAAACTTTATAAATTGAATATATGTAGTACAGGATAACTTTGATCCAGAGGATCAACACGGCGCGAAGAAATGTTGTTGCATACCTACCTGCTGATGCAAGTACCTATGCTGTTATAAATCAAAGAGCGTAACCCGAGGTAAAACAAATTGTAATTTGCATGTGGTACTTTCAGAATCATGAATGTGAATATGGCGCATTTTTGTTTAAATATTTATGTAATATAAAAGTAGAAAACAAGCATATTATCAAAATAAAACTGGTAATATGTTTTCACAACAATGCCTTCCTGAAAGATTTGTCATTGTTTTCAAGGAACAAGGGGTATCAAGTTGACACAATCGTAGTGGTTTACATGATACTGTTGACATTGATATATCTACAGTGTTGGAGTTATTTATATTTGTCAGAATTAATCTTTTAAAAAAAATAGCTGCATTTTTTGTAGTGTATTATTTCATAATGAATGAGATCAGTGCAGATATTGTTACAATGAAACCCACAAGGACGTGAGTTTGTATTGTTATTTAACAATGAACCATACTAGTCTATGAGAGTAACCTCTCTAATGTTAATATGTTTACTCCTGTAGCCTGACACGTCAATTATTCACGCTGTTCAAAAGTGCTAATACCTCGCTACACGGAAACTGGATAGCCAGATGCTGTAGTCCTGTCCCCGCCCTCTCGACAGAAAAACCCGCTCCATGGAAATGGGCCAAAGTTTCACCCCAGCGAAATGCTGTTTGGTGAAATAGGTCGGATAGAGCTAGACTGTTACCCTACCCTTCGCCTCCTAGCGGCTGTAGGCGAGGAGCGCAAGCGCTGTAGGGCAGGCTAACCAGTCTAGGACAGAGCTCGACTCCCTCTGATGATTGTGCCAGAATAAAACAAACGTGTTTAGTGTACTACTTTACAGTTAGGAATGTTTTAAAAATATTTTCATAAATATTTATACATTTCGTAAGTACGCTTGTCATTATACATATGTGAGACATAAATAAAGTTTCTTTTAAAGTCTGTTTACATCTTTCCAACTATTACTGGTTCCCATGTAACTTCCTCAAACCAAACACAAATAAAGCAATAACACCTTTCCTTTGCATGTTATACTGTGTTCTATGCAGTCGGAACAAGTCGAAAAACGTTATTTAACAATATAACATCGTATGGGCAACGTGTTTCAACAATATCGCTAAACACTATCCCAACGAAGTTACCAGTATTTCGCTGTCTACGGTGTCCATAATACCACAGTGTACTTTTATTAACCCAGTTATTTCGAATCACATGGTTAATGATCTATAGTAAATCCACGAAAGAATATCAGAATAATGTTTGAGTGTTTGATTTTAGAGGAGTGAAACTACATATATAATGGCCCTGAAAGATTGCTTACAAGTGATATATTTATATGTTTAAGACTTACCTCTGCTACTGAGAGATTCTGATAGAAGAAGTCTTTTTTTTTATCTGTCGTTACTAGGGATGCCAATGAGCACCTGTGGAGGAGACGTGAGTTATGTTTTGAACAATATTTCACTCATATGACGGTATGAAATGTAACGCATGTTTTGTTTGTTTGTTGTTTAACGCCGCACTATTCCAGCTATATGACGGCGGTCTGTAAGTAATCGAGTCTGGACCAGACAATCCAGTGATTTACATCATGAGCATCGATCCACGCATTTGGGATAATGGACATGCATCAACCAAGTCAGCGAGCCTGACCACCTGATCCCGTAAGCACTTTTTACGGCAAGCATGGGTTGCTGAAGACCTATTCTACCCCGGATCTTCACGGGTCGTAACGCATGTGGTAGATGTATTTACCAGTTAGGTGAAACCATCAATCATGAGGGAAGAGTTTACATACTTACATAACCACTATGAATCAGGGTTTGGAACCAATGATGAGTAGACCCTTGGGCGTGAAGAAAAACAATACAGTAGACTAGGGTTATAACGAACTCGAGGGGACCACTATTTTTAGTTCGTAATAACCGTAGTTCGTTATAAGCATACATACAGCATATATACATCAAATGATCGGGACTAAAAATAAGTTCGTTATATCCGTCAGTTCGGTATAAGCGTGTTCGTTATAAACGTAGTTTACTGTACATTGAACATCAGTTGATACAGAGTATCCAGTTAGAGTCAGCGGAGAGGCAGGACAGGGAGGGGCTTATTGCAAGAGCTGTTTGTGTACGATGTTGAAATACAAAAGATAGGCTGGACTCACGGCAAATCTGTGCCGCCCACGAGGTTGTCGCACAACGTCTTCAAGCCAACACTTATGGTGCAGGCAGAGATGAGGACCAAGAACAATGCAACACCGTCGGCGACGACCTCGTAGAGGGACGGTAACCCTGCTAACTCAATTCTGCAAAAAAAGACACTTCTTGTGTTAAATTGCTTTTGTTATGACAGTTGGGGCGGTCGGGTAGCCTAGTGGTTAAGGCGTTAGCTCGTCACGCCGAAGACCCGGGTTCGATTCCCGACATGGGTACAATGTGTGAAGCCCATTTCTGGTGTCCCCGCCGTGATATTGCTGGAATATTGCTAAAAGCGGCGTAAAACCATACTCACTCACTCACAGTTAGCATTATTGTAACAATATCCTGCACGAGGGGTTCCGAAACATTGGTCTGTGTACCCTGTTTTTTAGGTTAACATCTATTCTCGGAAATAAAAATATTGTACAGAAAACAGTTGTTACATTATCTTAATATAGTCTCTTCATAAACTGCAGTAATCTGGACTTGCCAACTATTAAAGACTTGCATGGGCTGTATTGAATATGTTTCTTTCAGGGTCTGTATGACAGATAACCCCTTTGGAAATCGAAAAGGGTCTTCATGGAGGCAAGGCTTAAACCACTAAACGTTTCCCCATATTACTACGATATGTACACGACAATTGAATCAGAAACTGGAAGCACTCCAAATCACATTTGAGATCATGCTCGATCATCCAGTCAATAGCTTTGAGTACACTGGTCCCTGTCCAATTCGCTGTCCGTTTTAAGTCAGATTCCAATTGCAAGGGTTAAGGGCTGACATCGAAAAAATAGATTGTCCCAAAATTGCTTGAAAAAATCATTATGCCTCAGACTGTTAAAAAGAAAGAAATTGTCTGCCATAGAATATATTGTCGCAAGATAATTATTTTTAAAAAAGAACACTATTTTGTCTCATATCTTTAACTGAAAAAATAGTCAGTCTCGATACAAAAGTTTAATCTAGTTTTCAGATCAAATTAAAATCGATATGGATATGGATGGATATTTGTCATGATAATGGAGACACAATATACCGTACTAAATAATAGAAGATGACTTAATATTTGACACCATTGATGTTTAATCTCACATCCACCCAAAACCTGAAGCTATCGACTGTTTCTAGCCTTAAATCACCAACTTACATTCCATCCTTTAGCCTTGAATCACCAACTTACATTCCATCCTTTAGCCTTGAATTCCATCCTTTAGGCTTAAATCACCAACTTACATTCCATCCTTTAGCCTTGAATCACCAACTTACATTCCATCCTTCAGCCTTGAATCACCAACTTATATTCCACCCTTTAGCCTTGAATTCCATCCTTTAGGCTTATATCACCAACTTTCATTCCATCCTTTAGCCTTGAATTCTACCCTTTCGGCTTAAATCACCAACTTACATTCCATCCTTTAGCCTTGAATCACCAACTTACATTCCATCCTTTAGCCTTAAATCACCAACTTACATTCCATCCTTTAGCCTTGAATTCCATCCTTTAGGCTTAAATCACCAACTTACATTCCACCTTTTAGCCTTGAATTCCATCCTTTAGACTTAAATCACCAACTTACATTCCACCCTTTAGCCTTGAATTCCATCCTTTAGGCTAAAATCACCAACTTACATTCCATCCTTTAGCCTTGAATCACCAACTTACATTCCATCCTTTAGCCTTGAATTCCACCCTTTAGCCTTGAATTCCATCCTTTAGGCTAAAATCACCAACTTACATTCCATCCTTTAGCCTTGAATCACCAACTTACATTCCATCCTTTAGCCTTGAATTCCATCCTTTAGGCTTAAATCAGCAACTTACATTCCATCCTTTAGCCCTGAATCACCAACTTACATTCCATCCTTTAGCCTTGAATCACCAACTTACATTCCATCCTTTAGCCTTGAATTCCATCCTTTAGGCTTAAATCACCAACTTACATTCCATCCTTTAGACTTGAATTCCATCCTTTAGGCTTGAATCACCAACTTACATTCCATCCTTTAGCCTTGAATCACCAACTTACATTCCGTCCTTTAGCCTTGAATCACCAACTTACATTCCATCCTTCAGCTTTGAATTCCATCCTTTAGGCTTTAATCACCAACTTACATTCCACCCTTTAGCCTTGAATCACCAACTAACATTCCATCCTTTAGCCTTGAATTCAATCCTTCAGGCTTAAATCACCAACTTACATTCCATCCTTTAGGCTTGAATCACCAACTTACATTCCATACTTTAGGCTTTAATCACCAACTTACATTCCACCCTTTAGCCTTGAATCACCAACTTACATTCCATCCTTTAGCCTTGAATTCCATCCTTTAGGCTTAAATCACCAACTTACATTCCACCCTTTAGCCTTGAATCACCAACTTACATTCCATCCTTTAGCCTTGAATTCCATCCTTTAGGCTTAAATCACCAACTTACATTCCATCCTTTAGCCTTGAATTCCATCCTTTAGGCTTAAATCACCAACTTACATTCCATCCTTCAGCCTTGAATCACCAACTTACATTCCATCCTTCAGCCTAGAATCACCAACTTACATTCCACCCTTTAGCCTTGAATTCGATCCTTTAGGCTTAAATCACCAACTTACATTCCATCCTTTAGCCTAGAATTCCATCCTTTAGCCTTGAATCACCAACTTACATTCCATCCTTCAGCCTTGAATCACCAACTTACATTCCATCCTTCAGCCTTGAATTCCATCCTTTAGCCTTGAATCACCAACTTACATTTCATCCTTCAGCCTAGAATTCCATCCTTTAGCCTTAAATCACCAACTTAGATTCCATCCTTAAGCCTTGAATCACCAACTTACATTCCATCCTTCAGCCTTGAATTCCATCCTTTAGCCTTGAATCACCAACTTACATTCCATCCTTCAGCCTTAAATTCCATCCTTTAGCCTTGAATCACCAACTTACATTCCATCCTTTAGCTTTGAATCACCAACTTATATTCCATTCTTTAGCCTTGAATTCCATCCTTTAGGCTTAAATCGCCAACTTACATTCCACCCTTTAGCCTTGAATCACCAACTTACATTCCACCCTTTAGCCTTGAATTGGATCCTTAAGGCTTAAATCACCAACTTACATTCCATCCTTTATCCTTGAATCACCAACTTAAATTCCATCCTTTAGCCTTGAATTCCATCCTTTAGCCTTGAATCACCAACTTACATTCCATCCTTCAGCCTTGAATCACCAACTTACATTCCATCCTTCAGCCTAGAATCACCAACTTACATTCCACCCTTTAGCCTTGAATTTGATCCTTTAGCCTTAAATCACCAACTTACATTCCATCCTTTAGCCTTGAATCACCAACTTACATTCCATCCTTTAGCCTAGAATTCCATCCTTTAGCCTTGAATCACCAACTTACATTCCATCCTTCAGCCTTGAATCACCAACTTACATTCCATCCTTAAGCCTCGAATCACCAACTTACATTCCATCCTTTAGCCTTGAATTAGCAACTTACATTCCATCCTTTAGCCTTGAATCACCAACTTACATTCCATCCTTTAGGATACTGATGAAGGTGACGACGATGACGGTGAATGGACACAGTAGACAGAATATGACGGCGATAGCGATGACGTAGTTGCACGACAACATCGACCCGTACGTCACCCCCGAGGACAGCAAACAGTTATTGTCGTGTTTAGACTAGAACAGAGAACACTACAGATACTGAACAAGGTCAAGTGTGACGCGATCAAACAGTATGAAGTCATGATGTCTGTATAGGCTTGGCATCTGTGTGAGTTTGTATGCGTTTTACAAGATGATGACTGGCCAATCTAATGGGTATAGATAGTTGCGTCCATTGGCCATGCTAAGTATTCTCTGATAGTGGGTCCGAACCCCAGATTCGCTTTGATTTGTTTTCCCAGGTGTTTCAGCACAATCCATGTGCATGCGGGTTCAGCAGCAAGTGCATGCCTACTTTCCTGATGTAAAAAACCATCTCAACCAGTCGTGTATAGTTTTAATATTGAAAACAAGAGTCGTTTGTCGGTTTTTTACTGCATATTTAACAAAACACGTATTAATTACACTTACCATGCTTACTGCTAGTGCTGAAAATATTAAAAAGCGACGAAATATGACCACAGCATAGAGAGCTGTCCTGGTAATGAGGATCAGCATGTGCGACACGTTGACAGGCATTGCAAAACTGTGATTCCGGTTGTTGAACAGAGTAATCTCCCTTGAGGAGACACCGCCGGATAATTGCACCAATACTTACATCTAATTTCCATCATATATTAGCAATAATATTGTATGATGCGATTCTTATAACGCCCCACAACAGCAAGGAAGTTTACTCCGTCATCTAACCATGGTTAACTTTGCATCGTTGGCTCTTCTACACACAACTCGGCCCCACAACTCAGCATGTGGTTCATCAGCTGAATGCGTGCCACGGATGGAAAAACACGTATTACTTACACTTACCATGCTTATTGCTAATGATGAAAATATTATCAGGCTACATATTATGCTCACAGCATAAAGAACTGTCCTGCAAATGAGAATCAGAACAGGAGGTACGTTGAAACCCATTGCAGAACCGTGTTGCCGCCAGGACTGGCAGTATTGACCAGAGTTAACTCCCTTGAGGAGACCCAAGCTCCTCACAGCGATAGTCCGTTCGCGGAGCTCTCACCTTTGTTACACTCTCTGTAGATCTATATTGACCTTTTTCACGCTTCGCTACTTCCGGTTTGAAAGCGAGGCTTGGAGAGCAGAAGGTGAAGGCTGGATAGCACATGAAACATATGGAGATGTCAACAAGGAACGCAATCGGGACAAACTGTGTCAATTTAACCATTCCGGTACTATCACGGCAACAGTACATTTATCGTAAGTATTGAACATTCTTCTTATTCTTATCATTGACAAACTATTCTACTGTTATCTGGTCTCCTTACTGGTATAGATTTAGCAAGTGAGTCTGGCCGTTCTGTTGTGATTTCAATTTCAAAGATCCATGACCACCTTGTAACTCCCGGTGCAGTTTATGGTAGCTGAATAGACTTAATACAAATCCTATTAAGATCGTGTAAAGAATAATTCATTGTTTACACACCATTAAGCAAAACTATTTATTGTGAGTTTGAATAACTTTGCGAGTTGTATTTGACGTCGAAATATTGACCTTTTGACCATATCTAGATATATGCCAGAAACTAAGTAAATTCATATGCTGATATAATGTATCTTATTGTTACCTATTGAGAATTTACGATCATAACAAATCAGAATTTTGCATCACTTGTGTATTTGATGTAAACTGTAATGGACTGAAATACATTCCAATAAAATATTAGACCTCTAGATCTACTAGTGCTGCTGTGATTGTGAACATTTGTTTGTTTTGAGTGTCAATGTTGACAGATTAGATAGCATGAGGTGTAATATTTCAACTGAATTATTACATAAAGGGTGTGTAAATATTTCAAGTGAAGTACAGTTTGATCTGCAATTTTGTAAACAATATTTCTACCAAAATGATATTTACTTTTCTGTACCAAATTAATCATGTCATGAAATGAACAAAAACCCAACTAATTAATGGCCAGTAAATGTTCAATCTACATGTGATCTTTAAAAAATGTACAGAAACAGATAAGTCTTTGAGGCTAAAACCAGCATTTGTCTGAGCTCGCGCAAGCAGCTACACACAAATGGTATTTGACGTTAGTTCAAGTTTTGCTATATAAAAGGGGGTTATGAAATTAATGCATCAGGTAGATCGCATTTACAAATATTATATTTGATTTAGTTCAGACAGGGGACATTGTTACGTACGGGTGATATCATCAAGCATAGAGGATGCAAATGTGTTATGAGGATAGTCAAACATTAATATACGCCAATAGGATACAATACGTTTGTATATTTTAAGCTGAAATTCCCAACCGAGCTCTCCTTCAACCATGAAATAATGTGTGCTATTTATTAAGCTAATATACCCAGTTCTCTTTCAACCATGAAATAATGTGAGCTATTTATTAAGTCAGTAGGAAATTTAAGATGAAAATGTTCTATTGGATCACATTTTTCAAACCTCATCAATAAATCCATCGCTTTATACGTGAAATAACTTTGAACTTGACGTTAAACCCCATACACCCCACCCAGTTACGTCAGTGATGCAAGACGTCTACCACATTTGATGAATCAAACGAGCGCGGGTTGATGCTGACATACCAGGGAACATTCTCAGGGCGTATCTGGGATTTGAACCCTCGTTCTTAGGCTGCTGGAACACATCTCCACACAGCTAATGGCGGCGTGTTAGGCGACTGGGGGAACCGGGCCATCCAACAAAAAAGACACCTTGCTACTGTTAGTGTATAACAACTGCGAAAATGTCATAATGATATGACCGCCTCCGTGGTCAAGTGGTAGAGCGTCCGCCCGGAGAGCGGAAGGTCCAGGGTTCGATCCCCGGCCGCGTCATACCAAAAGACGTTAAAAGATGGTACTTGTTGTTACCCTGTCTGGCGCTCGGCATTAAGGGCTAAAACATGGTCTGGTCGGCTCGGAGTCAGTATACTGTGTCTGAGTGGGGTATTCATGTTACACTGCGGCATGGTATCTCAGTGTGCTAGCACTATAAATCGTCCGTCCGGACTAGTACAAGCAAGCACACACACACACACAACACGTGCGTGCACGTCGCTATATAAGAGCAATAATCTTGGACGCGACGTTAAACCAAATTTCACCTCACCTCATGATGATGAGACAAGAGAATCATCAAACACGGCTTTCATCTAACCGAAGATTTGAAAGAAGGAACGCAATATACATGATCATATGTTATGAAGTGGTGATCGATAATCAATAACAAGCCATATGTAAGTGGGTCAGTATTCATTTTTTTTTCATTCTTTGTCTGATTGTCATAGACATGATCGATTTCAACTACATTTGAAATATAGTTTACATGCAATGACTGATTAAGTAAGGATGCTATTAACTACAACTCGTATATCAATAACATTAAAAAGGTTTACAAATACCCATATTAAGGTCAGTTTACACAGTGCAACAAGTGGTATATACGATTAGTTGCGTAAGGGAGGTTATTCATGCGGTTCTGTGTTAACGTCAGACAGTCAGAGGGAATCGGGGAAGGAAATATCTAGGGGAGGGTCATAAAAAATAAAGCACATATTTCGGGAAGGTCATGTAAAATGAATATTTTATAATTAATTATAAAGATTTTGCTTTTTGTCCTTTCGCGGAGGGTCATGAAAATATGTAATAGGACATGAGGAGGGTCACCCCAAAATATGATAAGCAGTATAGGAGAGTCATTATTTTCATGGTACCCATGGTCAAAGGACCCGTGAAGATCCGGGGTAGAATAGGTCTTCAGCAAGCCATGCTTGCCGTAAGAGGCGACTAATGAGATCGGGTGGTCAGGCTTGCTGACTTGGTTGATGCATGTCATCGTATCCCATTAACGTGGATCGATGCTCATGATGTAAATCACTGGATTGTCTGGTCCAGACTCGATTATTTACAGACCGCCGTCATATAGCTGGAATATTGCTGAGCGTGGTGTTAAACAACAAACAAACAAACCAATCCATGGTCCAAGAGCACCGTGTAACCCACACTCCGGTGCAGTTGTGTATGACACAGCATTGCATCACTGCCACAAGCTAATTTGCATATGACGTGGCCACGTGACTTTTTCCTCGTTTGTTAACAGACGTGCTTATTCTGAAAACAGAGGAGAGCGGCCTAATGTACGCCTTTCAGTGCGTTTCAGTTTCTGTTTTGCACAATTATATAGATGTGGTACTACAACTGCAGCATTGGGGATAACTACAATACATCTTTACACAAAGTTGCTTCGATGACACCCCCTGGAGCCGCACAGCCATTCAAAGCAAAGGATGAGTACACAACTGGAACTAGCTCTGAATAGTTGCTGATATCTGACCGATGGAAGGTAACCATCATGACATATGTTTATCTAAGTGTCTTGCCTTTTCAAAAATGACATTGTTGAAAAACATATGTAATATGTTTAATGAACTGAGAAATATGTGTCGAACAGGTTGACCGCAAGGTTTTCTGGATCGATGGCAAAGTACTCTGGCTTAACTTGTACATTAAATTGACACGCACTCCCCCCCCCCCCCCCCCCCCCCCTCCTCCCTCACATGCTCCCTCTCTCCCTCACTCACTCACTCACTCCAACAATAAGTCCGGTAGCAGCATACATGTTATAGTCCCCATATTCAGCGTTTGGGTCTTTGACATCTTTTCTGCTGACACGCCGTGGTATAACTGATATACTATTCAATGCGACGTTAAACTCACTCGCTCACTTTCCATCATAGAGAATCTGCTAACTGTCTGTGTCAGTGTTAGTATAAAAGAATGGTCCTAGTCTCAAATTACTGAGTTAATACTACCTACACCAGACAAACCTATCGTCTGTCAAAGCATTCACTGCACAAAAATACAAACAAAAATATATTTAATGCTGATGTCAAGGTGACGTGACTTTAAGATAATCTGGACTGGTTTTGATTAAATTAATGCAGATATATGCAGTGATGGTTCAGGGCTGAACCTCCGTGTAGAGAGCATCAGACACGATATACAGACTGCTGGCACGGGTTACACTGCCACCAGCTGTGGGAATCGCTAGCCCCGCACAGTCACAGCGCGGTAATATTTCATCGGCCTTAATAATATTCAATAAATCCTACTGCCAATACACGATTGTTTCCTTACTGAACGAAACAGGGGAAGTTGTATGCATAGTTATGTATATACGACTACTTGTACAACCATAAACGCGGATACAACGTTTTCGAAAATGCATTTATGTGAACAAAGTTAACATATCACTGTTGAATGATTAAATGATCAGTGTGAAAACACAAACGCACGCACATACAAACGCACGCACGCACGCACGCGCGCGCATACACCACACTATGTATCCTGTATGGGGCATAACACATTGATGTGTCTTGGCATCCAATTTCAGAACTCCTGAGTCATATCAGTGTACACAGCTGGTGCAAGTACAACAGACTGGGATTTTCACCTAGCATGGCCATCCGAGCTTATATGGGCTAAACATTTTATTGACGTGTCACTCTTTGCAGGGAGGTGAGGTGAAATGGGGTTTAACACCGCGCGCGCGCGCGCGCGCGCGCGCGTGTGTGTGTGTGTGTGTGTGTGTGTGTGTGTGTGTGTGTGCTTGTACTAGTCCGGACTGATGCCGATTTATAGTGCTAGCACACTGAGATACCGCAGTTTAACATGAATACCCCACTCAGACACAGTAAAACTGTCTCCGAGCCGACCAGTCCTTGTTGCATTGCATGACATCCAGCTTACTGCATCCGGAATACCGTTTGACTGGGCTCGAAACCCGGAGCACCACAAATATCCATAATTACATTTTAAACACGTAAGGCAGACACGTATTATAGTGAGTGAGTGAGGTAACAGTCTGGCTCAAGGCTTTAGATTTTCTTATGATAATATTTCGAGTGAGTGAGTGAGTTGGGTTTAACGCCGCTTTTAACATTATTCCAGTTATATCACGGCGTGTCAGCTTAATGTGGGAGGAAAGCCCGAAGTGATGCAGGTCTCAGGCGTTTACCACTTCGGTGAAACCCAGGAGCACGGGTATGGTGCTGACAAACCTAGAAACTGGGGGGGAACTGGGATTCGAACCCACAATCATAGGTTTCTGGCGTGCCCAAGGGACGCAACTCTGCACAGCGAATCGCGGCGCCTTAGACGACTGGGCCACCCGTGCCCCCGACACGCATCGTAACTGCGATATTGGTTTGTTACTATTTTAACAGCTACCATTTCAATTTTGAGTGTGTTCCTGACTCATAAGTTGAAACAGAAAATCATTTCTTCTGTTAAAGTTTCATTCCATTTGTAAGTATTGTTTCATAAAACTTTGGATATTCATTAAAAACGTACTGTTCCGCTATTGTGTGCGTGCGTGCGTCGGTCCCTCGCTACCTCCCTACCGCAATGGGTGTCAGAAAAGAATGCAGATCTGACATGAGTAAAACTACATATCAAACACATAAAGAACTAAGTTTGAAAGCAGACCACGAGGTGCAGCAGAGCTTGAGAAGCGTCCCCGTTACCAATAAAATGTGACCCCACGACCCATTCTAAGTTTCCGAGTCTAGGCCTGCCCGTCTTCACACGTACAAGGAGGACACGATATGTTTGTTTGTTATTGTCAGTGTCTGTAATCACCACGGGAATGTTACATTGTTTCAACAGCGACTCCTTAACCTTGGAGTAATAGAGGGCTTCGTGTTGACACAGGACCTGTTCTCAAGTGCGATGGCATAAACTGCCTCGCTGAATGGTACTTATTCCGTGAGCGGGAATTTGATCAATCTTGCCTATTATATTTCCACCGATCTGTCGCCACAATGTATCAAACGCGCTACCGCTTCGTCATCTCCGGACGCAAACCTCGCAGGTCCATGAGGCAGCATCACATCACCGGCGTCGTTAGTCAGAACTATGAGGAAATCAAAAGGAATTGCCTGGCGAGGCGTACACTTTTTGAGGATCCCGAGTTCCCTGCGGAGAGCAGCTCGCTATATTACAGCCAGCCACCGAAACGGCGAGTAGAGTGGAAGCGACCCAAAGTAAGTCTAGCGCACTTTGCTATTTCATGCCATTCTTATCTTAACGTGAAGATGCACTTTCTCTCCACCCGTGTCTATCATTCTCTAGTGCTTGCATTGCTGCATCTCGGTGGCTTGTGTAATCAAGTTGTCATCTGTATCTGATAAAAATTGCAGTTTCAGATCAGAACTTTTGATATCACCTACCATCAAAACTAAGTGGTGTTATCGCATCCTCTCTTTCTCCTCGTGCGCTGTCATATCTCCCACATGCTAAAAACCGTTGTCGTTTTCGATCTGACAGGTGTAATCAACATTTTTTACCGATAAAATAGAATATATTTGCAGGTAGCTGATTACGTACATATTTTCCAAAAATAGTTTATTATTCGTCGCCAAGATGAGATATAGAATGAAACAATACATTCTTTAGACACAGTGTCAGACTTTGCGGTATATCCCGTAGCCTCCATGCTGGAGCGACATATTCAACAGCTGATATAAACGAGGAACAAACGGCAGGGTGTTGTAATGGCGGTCATATCAATCTATACATTATAAACTTAACGGGAGTCGTTATTCTGAAAGCCTACTTCGTGCATAGATCCTCCCTGTAGTCAGAACATAGACTTGCTGGAACAGATATAAAAGGATTACTTGTGGCCGCATGTATTCATATCTATTTATAAGATCAAATTTATTATTTTTCACTATGAATAATTAGTAATTCAGGTCGCTTTCAGGCTTCTTGTGTGTGAGGGGGTAACAGCCAGCAGGAAAGTGACTACTGTACGTAAAGAGGAAAACATGCCACTGTATGTTATCCTGAAAGTGATTTATGTGGACTGATACTGACATCGATCAAACCGGACACGTGGTTGACCGGTTATACCACGAGCTTCTGTCACTCCTCGTTATAACGCCTTGTTATGTTAACGGTGATTTTCTTTATCATATTTCATTCCTCACTCAGAACGTCAAAGATGGCATGATGTAAATTCTTCACTTAAATGGAAAGATACAGTGAACCCTCGTTATTCCAGGACTAGTGGACCTCTATTATTCCGACGGGTTCGGATCAGAACCCCTGTAATTCAGTGATCCCCCGTTATCCTGAGGTCCGGAAACTGTGAACCAGCGTTATTCCGGGGTTTCACTGTATGCACAAATCTCTGTCTTCATGATTTCCAGTCATGTTTACGTTTAGGTGAATTTACAAGATTGCTGTGTTAAGTTTGACCTTTTAAACATAATAATCTGACGTCACGAAATATGATACGATTGTGTCTATCGTAACCGAATTCTACATTGATATAATAAAATGCTAAACATGATACTTGAAATGAATCAAAATGAGTGTTTGATATTGATCAGTGTGAAATGTACATATACACACATGTATATCGCCAATAAATACACCATATTCTAACGAAACTATTATCACCTACGCCATTTGGCGCCGTCTAACACTTTATATTACCACCTAGCGCTTTATAAAGTACGCAACCTGTAACTATATAATGCCATCCGTCGCATACTAAATCTGCAAATACCACCTGACGCTATATATTGCCAAATATATAACGCCACCTATAACGTTATATGTTGTACCTACTAACGGTAAATGTTCTCACGTAACCCCATCTTACGCCTCGTAACGCTGTACCACGCTGTGCAGAGTTGCCTCCCTTAAGTGAGGCATGCTGCAATGATCGTGGGTTCGAATCCCAGCTCCGCCCTAGTTTTGATCATTAGTTTATCAGCAACATACCCGGTCCCCCAAAGTGGTAAAATCAAAGACCAGGGCCCCGTTCCAAAAAGCGACCTAAGCCCAAGGACCGACGTAAGTCTGTGTTAAGGAATGGGAGTTACGATTGTCTTGACGCTACGACCGCTTTGTGGAACAGGACCCTGCATTATCTCTGGCTTTGCCCCCATAGCTGTACAACCAAATGCTGTTCATTACAACCTGTAACGATATATGACGCCATTTTACGCCTGCAACGCTATATAACGCCATTTTACGCCTGTAACGCTTTATAACGCCATTTTACGCCTGTAACGCTACATAACGCCATTTTACACCTGTAACGATATATAACGCCATTTTACGCCTGTAACGCTACATAACGCCATTTTACGCCTGTAACGCTATATAACGCCATTTTACGCCTGTAACGCATTATAACGCCATTTTACGCCTGTAACGCATTATAACGCCATTTTACACCTGTAACGATATATAACGCCATTTTACGCCTGTAACGCTATATAACGCCATTTTACGCCATGCGCCGAGTGAGCTTATATATCAATTTGCTAACGCAGCGTTAAACGACATCTACTCAGTCCATTGTGTCCACACGTGGCATGAACATCCTTATTCTTGTGTACCTATTTCCATAATGCCTACACTAAATGCAGAATGCCTTCTCAATTGTACCGTGTAATCTGCGTACATGATCAATTCAACATTATGTGTGCACGTTATTCAAAACATCGTACGAATAGATACCTTTCTATAATTAAAGGTAATACGGATCTGCCCATCATGTATATTTGGCAAACTGTTGTAAAGTCGTAATATACCTTTGAGAGTGTTCGCTTGTTGCATGACAGACTGTCGATAATGTGGCGTTATTAAATGCGGTTTGGGGAGCAGCATGTTACGTATATTGATTAGGTATGAAGTTGACATACAGCGTTCATCTATTGATGATTGTATTAGGCGCCTGTTCTCAGTGCGCGAGTATAGACGTGTGCAGGTGTTGCATTATCGGGACAGGTATCAGGTAGGGGAACGAACCTTGCAGCCAAGGGCGGATAGGTAAACAGGATCTAGCCGTCAGACACACAACCGTAGGGATCGACCATTTTGGATCTCATTTTCACTGCATCCACCATGACTTCACCCCCTGGTTTAAATAGGTTAATGGTGTAGTCGTTAGGCTTGTAAAGACGTTGTTTGATGAGGTCAAAGGCAGTAAAACTCAGCAAATGGATCTATGAATGGATCAGCACCAATTCCAACACGATCTGTAAGACTATCCATGCACCTTGACACCTCATCTGACAAAACACTCAAAAGTTAACACTCAGACAAATGTTTGAAACACCTCCAATACCATTGTGTTTTGTTGGGTTAGTTGGGGCAGGCGACTAAAGGGATCAGGGGGAGTGGTAGCCTAAAGTCTAAGGAATCTGAAGTCGCTGTGCAGAGTTGCGTCCCTTAAGCGTGCCACGATCCTATGATCTGGGTTAGTCAACATCATAACCATGCTCGTTGGTTTCACCAAAGTGATAAACGTCAAAGACCTGTCTCACTTCTTGCTATCCTCCATTAGGCTGTCACGCTGTGATATAACTGAATTGCTTTCCAATGCTGCGTAAAAAACAACTCACTCACCCCAACGGCATCGAACACCAATCTGGAACTGAGCAACCAAGCGGCGTAAAACACAACTCACTGACTCCCTCACGCCTCGAAAGGAAAGCTGACATTGAATTACCACCTCACATAGAGCTAGACTTACAGGAGTTGTACGGTACCAGCAACTTTATCGCTTCTGATGTATGATAATGGAGAGACGACATATGTACATTAATTAGCTGGCATCGCGTTGCATACCTAGCTGCCATGTGTTATGTGGTGGGTCTGGGAGAAATGTGTAACGATTTATAAAGAATAAATACTTTCAGAATTAATCATTTTCCCAATATTATGATAATGGTCTTTTATACTACTTACTGTGCAGTTTTAAATGCTTACAGATACCCCCTTGAAAATCCAGGTTAGAATTGGTCTTAAAAAGTCCATGTTTGTTACAAGGGGCGACTTGCGGGACCAGGCTTGCTGACTTGATTGATACATGTCATCGTATCCAAAATGCGTGGATCTATGCTCATAATGTCAATCACTGGATTGTCTGGCCCAGGCTCGATTATTTACAGACCGCCCTTATAGTAGGAATATTGCTGAGTGCGGCGATAAAAAACAGACAAACAAACGATGAGACTAAGGCAAGCATTTTAAAGTTGGTACCGATAGGAGTGAGTCTGTGGTATATTGTATTGTGCTGTGTTGTTATGGGGTATTTGTATCTTGTTCATACTCCTGTTAAAGCGGGGCTCGGTTCAGCGAATTGGCAGTCCCAGCTAGTTTGATTCAAGAATGAACCACTTTTTTACCTGCTTACTGACTTTTTTCTATAGTTTTAATGTATATAAATATTTTAGTTAATAATAACACTTATCACAAATATACAACGTTTTAAGGGTTTTTTTAAAATCACTAAATAACAACGTTTAGACCTATACTGCCAATGAGCCAATATTCCAGTAATTGCACAGCGGCCTCGTCTAGTCAAGCTGGGTGATATCATAAACAAAGATCCACGTACGATGAAACACAATGATCCAGGCCACAATTTGTGATCATTCGAGCCTACTTTTGGTCGGCAATCAGCAGAGACGTATCTAGACCTGCTCAGAGGCCGATTGTCGGCCCCGCGTCTGGAGTGAATGCCATTAAAAATTCCCAAATTGGAATTAAACATTTCCCAATTAATGCTGTTATAGCTGTAACTAATGTTATGGCCTTGTAAAGGTGTGATAACAACGTCGTTATAAAGGAAAAGGCTTTATAGCTTTGTTAAACGTTATTGCATTCAGTACAATGTTAAAATGTAATGTTAAAATCCCAATGAATTTCGCGAAAAAAGAACTTAAATAATAATCCCAATTTTGAACAATATAACGACTTTTCCCAAATGTGCCTACCAAGGGCAGTTTGTTTGGAATCCCAGATAAATAACTGAACCACGACATTGATTTTGGGGACCGACCCACTGTGTGTAAAAGGCGAGGAACTGTTTCATTGCCCTTGTCCTTGCATAGGAACGTGGTGACAATTACTGGGGTTGAGAAACCCCTATTAAAGTGTTGTTTATTGTGTGTATGTCAGAATAAGTTGTCTAATATCGAGGAAAAACAAATAAACTGACTCTGTCTGCTCTATACAGACAAGGATTCGAGCGGTGACATTTCAATTTTCAATCACATGTGTCTCGTCATAACAACGATAGCGCAGCTATATCTTTCAAACGTATAAAAGACGTTTAGTATCTGTTTTAAATGATTCAGATGCGAGTACACTTTTGCGTTATGGTAATTTCACTAAACGTAACAATAACGTATTCTGTTACGTACACCAATAATAATTCTGAACTTTTTCTTAATTATCCAAAGAAAGGCCTCGGTGGCTGACTTGGTAATGACATGTCATACGGTATGTGGGTTCGAATCCCAGGAACGGGGAACTTGTTATTGCAGGTATGACAGGTCGTATACTAGAGGCAGATGTTTATTGAGACTTACTAGAAAAGAAACAGGTTATTATAACGTTTGTGAAGACCTATTTCAGCGAATCCCTGGTTATGATAACGTTTGTGAAGACCTCTGTCAGCGGATACCAGGTTATTATTAAATTTATTTAGACCTTTTTCAGAGGACACCTTTTTATTATAACGTTTGTCAAGACCTATTTCGCAGAGACATGGTTATTATATTGTTTGTAAAGCCATATTTCACCTAATACCTGGGTAGTTATTTTAACGTTTGTAAAGACCTATTTCAGCGTTTTCCTTGTCATTTTAACGTTTGTAAAGACCAACTGCACATTTGGTTATTATAACGTTTGTAAAGACCTATTTCAGCCGATATCTGGTTATTATTAAGTTTGTAAAGACCTATTTCACAGATACATGGTTATTATAAAGTTTGTAAAGACCTGGTTCACGGATATCTGGTTATTGTAACGTTTGTAAAGACCTATTTCACCGAATACCAGGTTATTGTTTTAGTTTGTAAAGACCTATTTCACAGATAGATGGTTATTATAACTTTCGTAAAGACCTATATCAACGGAGTGACAGGCTTTGTATTATTAAGCATGAGAAAACACACCACAGGTGACGATAACGACAATAGTAACAATAATGTTATTATGTATATTAAATGCACAGTAGCGAGCACATCTCAATAGTTTAATTAGATGAAGTGGAAATTTAAGACCATATATTCGATGCTCTTGCAATCGGTCGCCCGGGGGGACGGGTGGCCCAGTCGTCTAAGACGCCGCGATTCGCTGTGCAGAGTTGCGTCCCTTGGGCACATCAGAAACCTATGATTATTTGGTTATTATGTTTCTAGGTTTGTCAGCACCATACCCGTGCTCGTGGGTTTCACCGAAGTGGTAAACGTCTGAGATCTGCATCACTTCGGGCTTTCCTCCCACATTTAGCTGACACGCTGTAATACTGTTTAAAGTGGCGTTAAACCCAACTAACTCACTCACGCACTGCCATCGGTGGCCCGTTTGTCTGATTGGTTGTTATCACATTCACCACGCGTCGCCTTAGTATGTACTGTATTCCTTGCTACCTGTGGTGTAAACCACAGACTCACTGATAAAACTGTGTTTCTTGTTGCAGGAGATATGCCCGAACCCCCAGTGGATCGATGAGGGAGCCAGCAGGTTCGACGTGGTTCAGGGAGAGCTCGGTAGGCTGTCCTGTTCACAACGTTGTGCCACGATCCCAGCGCTACGATTTCCGTATCTCCATGTTTTGTACGCTGGGCCAACGGCTTCGCTCCATTTAGTGATCTTATCGCTATAGCTATCGCAGTCAGTGAAAAGCATGGGCTTTCTGGCGACCGTTTCGCTAAAATCGCTTTGTGGATGCGTCCCTGGTTAATTTCAAAGAACCTATCTCTCAGGCAGGTCACTACAAACATCTTTGAGGTCATTGACGAGGGCAGTAAGAAACACAGCCTTAATTATCCAGTGTAGTATAAATGAAGAATCTCACCCAAGTCGCTTTTGATATGAAATATATCTACACATAGGCTTGCCGAGGAGTCTTTTGTCGACGAGTGTTGATATATTTGATATCAAAAGACACAAGGGTGAGATTCTATTCAGAGCCTTTAGTGATGTCAATTGATTGTGACGTCATGGTAACAATGACGTCTTAGTAGTCTGCAAAGCATTGTGATGCAATTTCATTGCAGCGATATCTACAATGTAGATATCGCTTGATCTCACCCAAGCGATATCTCCTGTGGGAGCCAGTTTTGGATGATAAATGTCCATTCAGTTATCATAAATACATCATGTGTATAATTTATAGTACCCCTTATACACGTGAAGTGTCCATTGCGTTGTTTAGTACACCTTAGCACATCCTACACCTTGTGTTTCCAGACGACTGTTGGATGATAGCAGCAGTAGCATCACTCACCTGCGACCAGAAGCTGTTCTCCAGAGTTGTCCCCCCTGACCAGAGTTTCCAACATGGCTACTGTGGAGCGTTCCGGTTCCGGCTGTGGTACCAGGGCGAGTGGCTGGACGTGGTGGTGGACGACCGACTGCCCACCTACCGCGGTCAACTCATCTACATGCACTCGGACACACAGATGGAGTTCTGGAGCGCTCTGTTAGAGAAGGCGTATGCCAAGTGAGTCATAATTATAAAAACTAAATGACGTCCAGATGGAAACAGTGGCTATTAACTAACTCACTTCACCAATTTGCATACTACAAACTCCCTGAACTTAGGACGTGCAAGATACATTCACAATACACCCAAGGAACCTTCTAAACGAGGGACAATAATCAAAGAATCTCGGGTAAATGAGCGAATGAATATAGAAATAACGTGGAATTACGTTCGGCTGGAACGTTAGAAATATTGGACTAGACTAACATCTAGTCTCTGAAATGAACATATCGTACAGAAAAAAACAGTTGTTCAGTTATCTTAATACAAATGTAATAAAAGGGAGCCCAGTGACTCTCTTCATTTTCAGATACTGCAGTAATCTAGACTTACCAAACATTATAGACTTGCATGGGCTGTATTTGATATATATTTGTATCAGGGTCTGTAAGACTTATATTGGACATGTTTGTTGTCCTACTGCGGAATGCTTATTATAGAAGTGCACAACCAATTCGGGGGAGTGTTGGTGTTAAATGTGTGCTGAATTTGTTACCGTCGAAATATTTATTGTTGGTTCATGCCATGAGATAAAGCGATTCTCTAAAGGCAAGCGTCTCTGTAAGATGTCTCATGCATACCCAATGCATTCCTTTGTCAGGTTGCACGGGTCATTCGAATCGCTGAAGGGCGGGTCCGCGCACGAGGCAATGGAGGACTTCACGGGGGGTTTGGCGGAAGTGTTTTCTCTGAAGGAATGGCCAGCCAACCTCCTCCAGATCATGCTGAAGTCTCACGAAAGATCGGCGCTCATGGCCTGCTCAATCGATGTAAGAACAGTTGGAGTTTTCAGAAATCAGAATTCGATATATCCATCTAAAGACATGTAGTAAAAAGAAGGATTTTCGTAACCTTGGTAATACATATTACAATTCGACACTTAGTCCTGCACGTTGACTGTGGAATATTTGTATATTTTATTAAATTATTTGTTTTAATTTGGAGGGAAATGTATCGTGTAACGACAGATTTCATAGACTTAATGTTAATGTGGGGTTTTAATGAATATTTATCAGAACGTAATAATCATGGCGCCAGTATGCGGAAAGATATTGAATCATAGCAGCTTTCTAACTAATGTTTAATGTATAAAATATATATTGAAAAATATATTTTATATAATTTTGATAAGATATTAACTGCGTGCTTTTATGTGTAAGTCTTTTTTTTTGTAGTATGACGGACAGACGGTAGATCAGCATCACCGCCTTGACAACGGCCTAATCGTGGGCCACGCCTACAGCCTTACATCTATCAGACAGGTACTGCCGCAGCAGCAGGAACAACGTTATCACTGTCTAGAGGTTAAAGTGTTCACTCGTCAAACCGAATCCACGGGTTCGATTCTCCACATGGGTACTATTTATGAAGCCCATTTCTGGTGTCCACCGCCGTGATACTGCTGGATTATTGCTAAAAGCGGCGTAAAACCATACTCACTTACAGCACTATGCTTTGGTTTGGTTGGTTGGTTGGTTGGTTGGTTGGTTGTTTAACGCCGCACTCAGCAATATTCAAGCTATATGACGGCGGTCTGTAAATAATCGAGTCTGGACCAGACAATCCAGTGATTAATATCATGAGCATCGATCCACGCAATTGGGATCGATGATATGCATCAACCAAGTCAGCGAGTCTGACCACCCGATCTCGTTAGTCGCCTCTTTCGACAAGCATAGTCGCCTGTTACGGCAAGCATGGGTTGCTGAAGACCTATTCTACCCCGGATCTTTACGGGTATACAGTACTATGCCAGTTGTAAACTAGTACTGCGCTTATGCTTCTCTCATACCTTCCTTGTTCCATATGTATATAGATGTTTTATAAGTGTGTAACTTTAAACCAATATATTTTTATTATTTCTGCTGTTTGTTTTTAAATTAAGATCATCTTCAAGCTGACCGATTGTAACTATGTACAAGATCATATTTTAGATGATATACGACTGGAATGTGTGTCAGTTTGGGTTCATCTTGAGAAATATATTATGTTGTTTATATGTTCAAGATCGACGTGGATGGCTCTGGAAATCACGTGACCCTCGTCCGCGTTAGGAACCCCTGGGGTAACGACAAGGAGTGGAATGGGGCTTGGAGTGACAGGTAGATGCATGGAAACATCCCTTACATTGAAGGATCTGAACACATTTCACTGATACTTCTCTTGGGACTTCTGTTATAATGATGATTTTTTAACACCTCCGTTGTCTATTGGATAAAGCCTCTGCCCGGAGGTCGGAAGGTCGGTATTCCCCTTCCGCGTCGTACAAAACGACGCTAAACGATTCTACTTATTGTTTCCCTGCCTGGAGCTCGGCGCATTATTTTAAAGAGATAAGACAGAGACTGGTCTACTCTGAGTCCGTACACTATGTCTGAGTAGGGTATTCATGTTTAACTGCAAAATGGTATCTCAGTGGGCTAGCACTATAAAACCGGCATAAGTATAGGCTAGTTCAAGCAGCCACACACACGCGCGCACACACTCTCACACACACGTACGTCTGCATGCACGTCGCTATATGTGCAGTAATCTTGAACGCAACGTTAAACCCAATTTTACCTCGCCTATGTTTTTTTAATCCCAGAAATCACATTCCATGCCAAGACAAAACCTGAAACCAGCGATAATCAGCTGAAGCAATGTCCTCAATGTCATGTCCAATGGCGCATGTCCTCATAAGTATGATGTAAGCGACATTTGGATTAAACAGGAATATTTTCGAAGAAACTTCTGTGTTGATCTTTAAATGATTATGTGTCTGCTTTCTTCGGACGATTCATTAAAATTCGAATAGGTTGCTTATCCCCCAAACTGAGGTGTTGTCCAAGAAGATGAAGTGACTGTTTCAGGTCCCAGGAGTGGGAGAGACTGCCACAGCACAAGAAGGAGAGTCTCGGACTCACATTTGACGACGACGGCGAGTTCTGGTTAGTTCACATAAACATCATTCCCGGCATACACTGTAAAGACCACGGGCGACAACTCTAGAGTAGTGCAAGCTCCTTCCCAGCGCGTGACACCTTCGTTACACTCTCGGTAACATCGCGATAGAGCTCCGCGAACGAACTATCGCTGTGAGGAGCTTGAGAGTAGTGCAAGCTCCTCACAGCGATAGTACGTTTCCGGAGCTCTCTATACTATCGCTGCCACCAGTCAAAACTCCCCACTTTGAGTTGGCCACAACCATGCTTGGAGTTGAACTCGCAACCGAATAACCGTTATGTTTACAAACAAGTGACGACTGTCGTGACGCCGAATACACTTATCGCTGCTAAATTACTTTCTTCGTTGTTGTCAATTTGAATTTCTGTTTCATTAAAACTATCGTGTTCTTGATATAGTAAGAATGTAAGGGAGAAGTTGGTTGATTTTCCGTTAGTCTGCAATCTCGAACCAATCTGATTATCAAAACAACAAAGTAAATTCATCTGGAAAACATGGTCAGTCGTAAACCTTTTCAAATTGAAATATGATGGCATTCCCAAAGACATAAACAAAAGTATAAACGTTACTACATATGGGGTTGGAGGGCAAATTTCAAGATTCTTGAAATGGCCGCGCCCACACTGGTGGCAGCGATGTTACTGAGAGTGTAACGAAGGTGTCACGCGCTGGGAAGGAGCTTGACACTGTAAAGACCACGGGCGACAACTCTAGAGTAGTGCAAGCTCCTTCCCAGCGCGTGACACCTTCGTTACACTCTCGGTAACATCGCGATCTCCGCGAACGAACTATCGCTGTGAGGAGCTTGAGAGTAGTGCAAGCTCCTCACAGCGATAGTACGTTCCCGGAGCTCTCTATACTATCGCTGCCACCAGTCAAAACTCCCCACTTTGAATAGGTGGCCACAACCATGCTTGGAGTTGAACTCGCAACCGAATGACCGTTATGTTTACAAACAAGTGACGACTGTCGTGACGCCGAATACACTTATCGCTGCTAAATTACTTTCTTCGTTGTTGTCAATTTGAATTTCTGTTTCATTAAAACTATCGTGTTATTGATATAGTAAGAATGTAAGGGAGAGGTTGGTTGATTTTCCGTTAGTCTGCAATCTCGAACCAATCTGATTATCAAAACAACAAAGTAAATTCATCTGGAAAACATGGTCAGTCGTAAACCTTTTCAAACTGAAATATGATGACATTCCCAAAGACATAAAAAGAAGTATAAACGTTACTACATATGGGGTTGGAGGGCAAATTTCAAGATTCTTGTAATGGCCGCGCCCACACTGGTGGCAGCGATGTTACCGAGAGTGTAACGAAGGTGTCACGCGCTGGGAAGGAGCTTGAGAGTAGTGGTGCCAAGGGAGGTAACTCCAGTTTGTTCGCGCCGGAACGACCCAGGCGACTCCTAAGATGCTACATGTATTTATATTTGATATAGCCACTTAGAGAATGAGTTGATGAAACATCCCAGTATTCTTCATTGGTTCTCATAAATAGTATTCAGACTGAAGGAGTGTGTGTTTGAGGAGGTTATAGTAGGTTATCTTACGGAATGGTCAATCAGTTATGATCGTCGGAAGGCTCATTCTCGATATATTTTAATTTGTCTCAGACCCTCAGTTGTGAGGTGTTGGTGGTATCGAAACTGCCAGTCAAAGTAAAGTATACACTAGAAAACTGGATATGACAAATATTAACAAACATTATTTAGCTGAAATAGTCATTGAAACATTGAAAACGTAAGATCCAAAATATGATACCCATATCAAATACATCACCATCGAATAATCATTATTTGTTTCATTTTAAGACACCATCAAACATGGGTGTATGCTTTTTCCCCCTTTAGGTGAGATATTAGTGTGTTGGCCTGCATCGACGATAACTGAGTTTGATTCCGTGGGTGGGTCCACGTTTTGACTGCTTCCATAGTGTCACTTAAAGCAAAACAAGGTCTCCGAGGTTATCTGAACTGAAATTGTCCGTCAACATAAATGTTTTTTTGAATGATGCTCTCAGATGTGTTTTGTCTGGTACAGGATGAATTTGTTTGACTTCCTGAGCCACTTCTCCGAGCTGGAGATATGTAACCTTGACCCGGTGTGCAACGAGAGCGCAGTCTCCGTCAAGAGGTGGGAGGTCACGACCCACACCGGAAGTTGGGTCAAACACGTCAGTGCTGGAGGTTGCCGAGGAAACCACCCAGGTACATAACCATCAGTCTTGCTCATCGTCAATACTTCAGGGTCACACTGCGCTCCTTCCGTCACCCGTGAATACATACGGCCAATATATGGTGTTCTTCATTAAGCTGTATATTTTGCAAGTTGGAGGTTCTGAACAACTTAACCCTTCAAGCAAAAATAAGGGGGTGCGTTAGTACTCCACACTACAATATGAATATTTATATGCATTTATTTTTGTTTTACGTCATCTGTCTGGTCCACTTGAAATGGAATCTGAAGGATAATGTAACGTATCGAATCCCCTGATTGCCCAACTTGATATAAAGATCTTCATCAAACAACGATATCAAGAGTCTGAAATCTTGTACCCGCAAATGTTATGGTTTCAGAGCCTGCGTGTAACATACTCAGGGTTTCGACTGAACTGAACTAAACAAATACAATACTTTTCTTTCTGTATTGTAATTCCTCTATAGAAACCTTCTGGACGAACCCCCAGTTCCGCGTGACGCTGACTGACCCTGACGAGACGGATGACGAGGACGAGTGCACGGTGATCGTGGCACTGCTGCAGAAAGACAGGAGGAAGAAGCGGCAGGAGGGAGTCGACCTGCTCCAGATCGGCTACATCATATATCAGGTAGCCCAGTCCCAAGGCATTACACATACGGCAACGGCATACAACAAGAGAACAGAACCGTGAAGATCCGGGATAGAATAGGTCTCCAGAAACCCATGCTTGCCATAAAAGGCGACTATGCTTGTCGCAAGAGGCGACTAACGGGATCGGGTGGTCAGGCTCGCCGACTTGGTTGATGCATGTCATCGATCCCAATTGTGTGGATTGATGCTCATGATGTCAATCACTGGATTGTCTGGTCCAGACTCGATTATTTACAGACCGCCGTCATATAGCCGGAATATTGCTGAGTGCGGTGTTAAACAACAAACAATCAAACTAGAGAACAGCCCAATGGTCTGTTCAGAGCTGCGTCCTTTATATCCGTGTCGGGGTCCAATGATTGTGGGTTCGAATCCCATATTTGCTTATAGTATGCTACTTGGGTTCCTACAAACAACACATTATGTGTACATATGCCATACACTGACTTAGTTGGAATCCTTTTTTATTTATTCTCTAGGGTCTGGGAGACATCCTAACACAGGCCGATATAGTTGTTATATTGCAGACTACGGCGCCAAACTGCATTCACTCACTCACTCGAACACTATTAGGGCAAAGGATGTTTTATATTAGATTCTCATTTATTTTCGATCAGTTTATGGTTTTATTTCCACTAGCTGAAAAACAATCACCAAGGTCCGCTGGATAAGAACTTCTTTCTCTACAACGCATCCGTGGCGAAGTCACCACCTTTCATCAACAGACGCGAGACTTGTGGGAGGCACAAACTGCTCCCTGGAAATTACGTCATCATTCCCTCCACATTCAATCCTAACCAGGAGGGGGACTTCCTGCTGCGCATCTTCACAGAGAAGGCCAAGGAGACTCAGTAAGTCGCGGCCAAAGAGTGAGACACAGTCCACGTGCATGTTTGTCAACTCGCAAACGATACTGCCGGCCAAACGAAAGCATATTTTTTAAAAGCGATCTGACCAAATAATTACAAACGTTACCAAACGTTACTAGGCTATAAAAAAAACGCCGAACTGTGAGCTTTATAGAAACCAGGGAATATTTGGAGTGCATCATATCTCCATTTTAGTATGGTATATACCCTGGTCCCATTCGCCACCGTGCCCGTGAAGATCTCGGTCAGAATAGGTCTTCAGTTGATTTCCAGATCTCGAGGATAAAAATCATGTGCTAGGTTAGTGACAGGAGAGCTGAAGCGGGTGACGTCACTTGCGAAACGAAGACATTGTGGCGAATGTCATCCAGTATATTTATTGAAATAGAACGTGGATATGACAAACTACTGAACGCAATACCGAAATCCACCGTTGGAATTCCGGATAATGATAGATCCACAGTAATATAACCAACGCTTGCCTTAAGAGGCGACTAAATGGAGCGGGTGGTCAGGCTTGGTGACTTGGTTGATTACGTTTCTCAACGGCCTGGTTCATTCCGTCTGTCAATCACTGGTTGTCTGGCCGAGATTCCATTATTTATAGCTTTAAGATTGCTGACTGAGGCCTTACAAAAAACAACCAAAAAACAACAACGCAAAGCATCCATGACAGCTAGGGTTACTAATTCTTTGATTGCCACAAGAGAATGAATGAATGAATGAATGAATGAATGAATGAATGAATGAACAGCCGTAGATTTACAAACTCTGATATGCTCAGAGCAAATGCAATGTGCTGGTATTTATATAGATGAGTATGTCTCCCAGCAGGTTACCCCAGGATGAATATCCTTGTGTTTAATTGTCATACCATAGTCACAATATTCACCAATATGAATTGACACAAATATTATTGTCACAAATATTATTAGCATTTGTCTATATCAAATTATTAGTAATCACTTCGTACAGAACGCTGAAGAAAAACAAATACGTTTATCCAACCTTACACATGAATGTCGGATTGGCTGAGACCCAATCTATTATTGTCATTGTACCCCGCTAACAAACTGTAAGGTATATTTCTTATGCTCCTCGCTGCAATTGCCGAACTGTTGGCATTGCATTTGCAACATACCAACCGTATTTTTATATCTCGAAATAATTATGTAAGACGTCATTCTTCGGATATTTACGATTTATTCCGAATGAAATAGATAGAGGCGAAATAACTAAGTTTGTTTCCTGTCGTCTGCCATAAATGCCTAACTGTGGTGTTGTTACCGACTCGGGCGAAAGCATGCATGCATAAGACATACTTGCAAGATAATTAGGTGTGCGGTAAGAAAAATTCGTTGTCCACCAGTACCACGGGTGACGTGGGTTGATGCGCCCTCTATTTTACTTTGTGTTTATGTAGTTCAGGTTATAATACATCAGGGGCGGTGGGATAGCCTAGTGGTTAGAGTGTTCGCTCGTCACACCTCAGACCCGGGTTCGATTCCACACCTGGGTATAATGTGTGGAGACCTTTACTTGTGTCCCCCGCCGTGATATTGCTGGAAAATTGCTAACAGCGGCGTAAAATCATACTCACTCACTCACTCACTATAATACACCATGAGTACAACTGGTTTCATGTTCGTGTTGCGCATTGCAGGGAACTGGATGAGGAAACCAGGTTTATGGAAATCGAGGTGAGTGTTCTCAAAGTAATAATCCGCGTGAAAGTGCAGCAGAACGCAACCATAGAGCTGTTTGGTTTATAGTGAACTAGGAATCCCAAAGGAATTTCAAGAAAGGGACGTTTACGACTTTTGTGAAACCCACGAACATGGCGATAGTACTGACACACCAGCGATCATGATTTGAGCGCCTGGTCTTTGGATTCGAACCTGAAGGCACCACTGCCCCATTCTGTATCTTCAAAACAAAATGTATTTTTGTAGTAAGTTCAGACGCTTGGTGTATTGTGTCATGTTGCATGGTCCAGAATAAGATTACACTAATGACTAACGTTTTTGTGAATACCCCTGCATGGTGTTCGAGATTCTGTTTTGACCTCGAAGTATCTGTGTAAATTGTGTGTAGATCCATACTTGTAATCTACAAGCGTTGGTAGGAGGTCCCAACGCTTTAACCCAACCGTCGGACTCCGTGAGTATTGACAGCCAGTCGTTCGTTGGTCTATGTGGAGTAGGAATGGAGCCATCTTCCCGAGGCAAGAGAGTTAGCTGACTTTAAAAGTCCAGTTTCCACCCTTGCCGAACTGGGCTGGAATTCCTTAGCTCGATCGTAGCGCCACCAGTGGCTATTACCAGTTATGTCCCTTCTAAGCCTCTCCTATGGACCAATCAGATACCACCTCTCGTATCACTTGCATTTGTTTCAAACAAAATGGCGGCGCCCAGTCAAGGACGATCTGATCGATAATCAATATCTGTATTGTGATAAAATGGATCTTACATAGCGAAATGCATCAAATCACGAGAGCACCTTGATAAACCATAAAAAGATTTGGAAAATATCTGTTGACAACGAGTTGGCGGTGCACATGCTTTGAAAATCTTGCAATCGACCGAAATCTGCACGACAGTTTACGAACCGGATTTTGATTTCTTTGATTGGGCTATGCAAAGACTCGTTAGTCCAGCCAAAATGTAACTCCATAATACCAGCCTAATTCGGCAAGGGTGGAAACTGAACTTATATAGTCAGTCAACTCTCTTGCCTCTGGAAGATGGAATGGACCAGGTGTGGTGGTTTCCCATGCACAGGACATTGTGTACCCATTTGATGCACAATCATTTTCACTCGTTCAGTGCACCTTCCATTTCAGAATAACTACGTAAGTATCCTTATGAACACTTACTTCCCAGTTTCTCACAGAACAAGCCAGTATAAGTTCACTTATATTCTATATACTTTATGTACTTTAATATACTTAAACCATGTAATGTTAACCCTAAGGCTTCACAGTAACATTGGCTATATTCGTATAATGAGTTTTCTATAAACGAAGTCCGTTTTCATTTTATTCTTATGCGCTTTGAACCTGCTACAACCTTTGGGTACGAGGAATTCAGGGGTCAACGGAGGGTATTCGGGATTCAGGGATCAACGGAGGGTATTCGAGATTCAGGGGTAAACGGAGGGTATTCGAGATTCAGGGGTCAACTGAGGGTATTCGGGATTCAGGGGTCAACAGAGGGTATTCGGGATTCAGCATTGTCCTACGCGGGACGACAATATAATCATTTTTGGTATGCAGATTAAACATTATTTTTATAATGTTCAACGGAAAAAAAAACCTTCGACATTTAATTTCAGTAATTTAAATTCAAATCATACCCATTTATGACCTAGGATAGTGTTCCATAGGTTTTCGTCTGTGATCAACATTCTGTCTTTGTAGAGTGAATTCTGACACTGAGATTTACGTTGTATTCGTGATTCAGGGTTGAACAAATGAAATTTAGAGTAAAAACTTGGATGGGATTCGGGAGAGAGGTTGTGCGTGCGTGCGTGCGTGCGTGCGTGCGTGCGTACTTGTGTGCGTGTATGTTTTGGCACACTCCGCTTCATAAGCCTCATATATTCACTCACTATCTAACATTTTCACGCATGCGTTTTTGGCTCTCAACTAGATTAGACATTATCACAAGAATGATGGCTAGATCATTCTTCCTCGTCCAACAGACTCCCAGGCATGAAGTGTAGAATGTACCCACCTTCTAACAGCATGGTTCCTGTGCGCGATTTGCTTGTTGCATTTACTGCATCTAACACCCAGCTGCTGCAGCCAAGCCCGGGGAGACCGGAAGTCTTGATGCGTTGTTTTTGGATTATTTCCCTTTTATCCTCTTTGACCTTGCAAACATGTTTATTCATCACAGTTTTTCTCCTACTTATGTATATTTAATGACCAGTATCCCTGGCATTTTACTACTGAAATCAATACTGGGACGTCATAGTTCCCTAGTGTTCCATGCTTGTCGCCAAAGCCGGTTTAGATGAGGATCAGTAGTTACAATGTGTGAAACTTGTATGTCATCGTAACCTGACGGCGTTGAATGGTGCATGCGCTATCAACCCAGATTACATCAGTCCTAAACAGGACGCCCTGATAAGGTGGTAATGATGTTTGAAACACCATCCTCTCATACGTACTCAATCGGAATTGCCTCAATTAGTTAACATGTTGACCCTCAATATGGGCAGTAGTAGAATGATCTGGTATTTCTGGGGGCACGGGTGGCCCAGTTGTCTAAGGCGCCGCGATTCGCTGTGCAGAGTTGCGTCCCCTGGGCACGCCAGAAACCTATGATTGTGGGTTCGAATCCCGGTTCGCCCCGATTATGCTTCTAGGTTTGTCAGCACCATACCCGTGCTCGTGGATTTCACCGAAGTGGTAAACGTCTGAGACCTGCATCACTTCGGGCTTTCCTCACACATTAAGCTGACACGCCGTGATATAACTGGAATACTGTTAAAAGAGGCGTTAAACCCAACTCACTCACTCTGGTATTTCTGATAATAAACAGCATGGTTATTTATAATACACGTTCATGCCATACCATAGTGTATAATAGGTAATAAAAGCCCGAAGTCGTGATTCATCCAACAACTGCTAGTACTCAGACTCGGCACAATGTCCGCCCCTGGTAGTTGTGTACATTTCCTCTCACCACTTCCCGACAGCCGCCGCCCCCGACGTCAGCAGATAGCCGGGAGCAGGAAGAACGCCTGGCCAGGTTCCGCACCATCGCCGGAGACGACATGGAGGTCGACGCCTACGAGCTGCAGGAAGTCCTCAACTTTGCCTTCACGAAAAGTAGGGGATTATTAACGGCACTAGTTTAGGGGTATGGGAACATAGACACCACGCATACTTAAGTTATAGGAATTGTGGAACCACGCGTGTGCCTTGGGGTATAGGAATCAGGCAGGTCCCATGTAGGTATTCATTTTTGTATCTCTGACACATGAAAAGAAAGGCCCCCTGGAGATTCCGGGTTAAAACGGGTGGCTTGTATTAATGCTGTGATTGTCGTAAAAAGCGACTCAAACTGGTCGGGTGAGGTAAATTATTGCGTGCTGACGGCGTGGGACGTTACTGCGAGGTATTATTAATATACAGGATGCCGTAATATAACTGCAACATTCACTCACTAAGTCGCTGAACAGAAAGATTTAATAAAACCCAAATCAACAAACATTTACAATGTACACTCACAAATCATCGTAAAATTACAATGGGGACTCGAGCCAAAGGAAAGAGCGAGTCCTGTCGAGGATCAAAGCTTACAACGAACACGAAGGAAACGGTTCCTCATATTGTACAAGATGTGAGCAAAATTCCATTGTAGATTAGCGAAGTGTCATTAATAGAAATACCCATTAGTTACATTTCCAGATTTTATAGCAAATGTATTTTCCATTTTGTTTTCAGAGTTCGTGTTCCCGGGGTTTTCTATTGACGTCTGCCGGAGTATGGTGGCATTGCATGATGTATCCTTTGGGGCTGTGAGATAAACGAAGCACATTTACGCCATTGAAGCATGGCATAGTTCCATTTATTAATTAATAACAACCGTCTTTAAAATTGGTAAATCGTAGACCATTGACGGTAAGGTTGAATGTCCTTAACCTTTACTCCCAGGGTGACCTTTCTGGAAAGCTTGGATTCGAGGAGTTCCGAGATTTGTGGGCTGACCTTAAGAGATGGGAGGTAAGTGCCGTTGTGAGAAGTGTTAGTGAGTGAGTATGGTTTTACGCCGCTTTTAGCAATATCATTGCGGGGGACACCAGAAATGGGCTTCACACACTGTACCCATGTCGGGAATCGAACCCGGGTCTGCGGCGTGACGAACGAACGCTTTGAACACTAGACTACCCGACCGCCCCTTGGAGGTGTTAAAGTGAGACTGGACTCAGGCCTATTGGCATCCTCTACATCTCCAGGGCTCTCATTGGTTAACCTGTTAGTGTAGGCTTACGGCCATGCCAGCCCTGGACATATAGAGGATTGCTTATTGGATACAAGTCATTCAGGGGCGATGGGATGAGCCTTGTGGCTGAAGCATTTGCTTGTCACGCCGAAGGCCCGAGTTCGATTCCCACATTGGTAAATTGTGCGAAGCCCACTGCTGGTGTCCCACGCCGTGATAGTTGAAATATTGCTGGAGGCGTAAATACATACCAACTCACGCTCACTCAAATCATTCCAACACACATTGTATGACTGTTGCTCAAATTGTATGTATCTGAATATAGCGGTTTGTGATTATCCTAATTATTACAGCGGGGCCTCCTTGATCCACAAATCCGATCTTCTTGGTTATTATTGGTAAAGTTACGTGTATGCAATGTGGCATTACTCCGTCACTATAATGAAGACATTTATTAATCGGGACAATTTTAGGGCGGGCGCTACCATCCGGATTAAGGGGGTTCCAATGTACTCAGTTTGACACAAGTTACCAACTTACAGCCTGCTCAGACTAGACCTAGTCTTGCAATAGGCTTCCCACCCCTGGGCGTAGTCCACAGTCATCTTTGCTCCTCGGAGCTCCCAGAAGCCACTGCGCGCGATTGCAGCTGAACTGTTAAGACCTGTTGTCCTATTTGCTTACCGGGGTAGAATAGGTCTTCAGCAACACATACGTGACGTAAAAGGGGACTATGCTTGTCGTAAGAGACGACTAACGGGATCGGGTGGTCAGGCTCGCTGACTTGGTTGATGCATGTCATCGTATCCCAATTGCGTGGATGGATACGTATGATATCAATCTCTGAATTGTCTCGCCAAGGCTCGCATATTTACAGACCGCCGTCATATAGCTCGAATATTGCTGAGTGCGGCGTTAAACAACAAACAATCCAAACCAAACCTATTCTGGACTTCGTTACTCTGAAACCCTCGCCTCGGGAAATTTTAATTAGGGTCAGAATGATATTTTACAGTGTAGGAAACGGCGGTTTTCTGTATACAATATGGTCGACATGTGACGGTTTCGACGATAAATTGTATTGTACTTGCGGTCTTGCTTTCACCTTGCTCGTAAACGGATGTCGTGATATGATATATCAGTTTCTAAACTAGTGTCCTAATATTGCTTTGGATCCTGGGAATTTTTTTATGTAAGAAGGAGAAATCAGACTGAGCTATTTTTTGGTTGAGACAGAATACTGTTTCAGTCAGTACTGCCAGACATCCAGTCGTTTAACCTGAACTCTGCAAGGAGAAGACAAACGTGGTACGGCGCTTGTGGGAGGTGATGGTGAAATGGGGTTTAACGTGGCACCTTGTAGTAATGCTCTCATGATTGACGTATGTTGCAGGGCGTGTTCAGGGAGTATGACATTGACCGGAGCGGATCCTTCAACTCCTATGAGCTCAGACTGGCTCTCAACTCCGTAGGTAAGTGAGACAACCTCACGAGAGACTGGCTCTCAACTCAGTGGGCAATGACTGAAATTGAGGGTCAAGGTTATTAAACCGGAAGTATAATTCGCTTGTTGAGGTAGCTGGCTTTAATTTTAAATATAATGCACCGGAAGTAATGCCATTTACCAGAAATGGTTGTATGACCATATTTGGATGGACAGTGTCGTCATTACTTTCTTATGTAGGTAGCTAGAGACATGGGATTGGAGATACTGATCACTGCGGGGGACACCAGAAATGGGCTTCACACATTGTACCCTTGTCGGGAATCGAACCCGGGTCTGCGGCGTGACGAACGAACGCTTTGAACACTGGGCGACCCGACCGCCCCGGGGAGGTGTTAAAGTGAGATGTCATTAGATTCGAATGGATATCATTAGAGCGGTCTTGCATATGATTTTCGTATCCAAGTAGCGAGAGGAATGGTCATTAGATCTGAAATACATTTTGGGACCTCAGTATGTAGGCTAGAGGGTCATCTGTGTTTAGGTTGTTGTATTAGGCAAGTACTTTACCCAAACCAAAGGTAAGGAAATCACACTTGAAATGCATGGTTGCACCACGGTCCTAAATAACGGTTGTTAAGGTCCACGGTTGCATATAGGGGCCAACCATTCTATATTCTTGGAGGGATGGGATGTTATCGTAAAAGTAAATTGTCCTTGATAATGCTTGGAAAAAATAATTAGGTGGTGTATTGTCTGTCACAAAAATACATTGTTTCGAGATATATTTTCAAAAGTATATTAAGTCTCATAGTTATATATGATTTTTAAAAAATCAGGTTTTGCATCCTCAGCTGAAAAAATACAAAATCCCAGCATCCCACCCCCCCCCCCCCCCCCCCCCCCCCCCCCCCCTCCCAAATATTAAATGGTCGGTCCCTCGTTAATTCTGGTTCCTTAAATAAAAGGGTGTGAAGGGACTGCCTCTCGTTAAGCTACAGTTTTCTATTTGGTACAACTTGCTATCATACCTCCAACCTACTGATGTTTGTCAAATAACCTCCTTTTTTCTCTACAACATTCAAATTTCAAAATATGGCTGGCCCCGAAATACATCTCTGTCGATGCATATGGCGACAGACATTGTTCTTGTGTTTATGACGTCCCTCGTGTTTGCAACCCATTAAGACATTGTGTATCCCGGGCAGGTTTCCGGTTGAGTAATCGCACCTTTCAGTCGATCGTGATGCGATACAGCAACAAGACCGGCCAGATTGAGTTCGGAGACTTCATTGTGTGTGCAGTGAGGCTAAAGACAATGATTGGTAAGTAGGCTTACTGGTTTAATCAAATCCAACTTCTGCATACTGTCCTCAGCATACTATGCTGATCACAAGAGGCTACCTCATGGATCGAATGGTCAGGCTCAGTGACTTTGTGATAGCGTGTCAGCGTACCCCGACAACGGTGTTCATAATATCAATCACTAGTTTGGCTGGTCCAGACTTGATTACTTAAACGTCAAATAGCTATATTATTGCTCTTAAACAACACACCAAATCAAAACCATAGCAAATATCATGGTTTAATATGTCTATGAATAGGATTATTTATGTTGTGATAATAACAGGTCAGTCCATTTAGAGTGAGTGAGTAAGCGAGTTGGGTTTAACGCCGCTTTTAACAGTATTCCAGTTATATCACGGCGTGTCAGCTTAATTTGGGAGGAAAGCCCGAAGTGATGCAGGTCTCAGACGTTTACCACTTCGGTATGGTGCTGACGAACCTAGAAACAACTGGGGCGAACCGGGATTCGAACCCACAATCATAGGTTTCTGGCGTGCCCAAGGGACGCAACTCTGCACAGCGAATCGCGGCGCCTTAGACGACTGGGCCATCCGTGCCCCCGAGTCCATTTAGAAAGTGCTTCAAATATCTACCTATATGATAAACTCGAAGCGCAGATTGTTCATAAAACTAGAAAAAAACATTTTCACTCGATTGTCTGCAGTTATCTGAATGAATGATGTTATTCTTTTACAGAGGCACACAGAACAGCAGATTTCAACAAAATTGATAACGTGAGTGTTTTACTGCCGATAGACAAACAATCTCATTGAAATCAGATCTTAGTTCTCGCTACCGCTAAACAAAGATCTGAGGACATCCCATTACGGGTCATGTCAGAGCGACCTTGCGCGAACTTTGATTGACCAATGGAACGACTGACGAGGAGCCAATCAGAAGGCAGCTTACTCGTGCTTTACGGCACTAATTTCAAATTGGCGACTACGCTTCGAAACATATTTTGACAAAATCTCGATTAAAAATTTGAAACCTGAACAAAAGAACATTCTGAAATGGCTAATAGATGGTCTAGATTGTATGGATTCAGTCGTTATCCCCGTAACTATCGTTCGGAATTCCTCCATGTAAAACGTTTTCGGGGTTGCATGATAAGAAATCACATTCCGACTGTCACTTTCATGATCTGGTAAGCGTCGCTCTGATTGGTCGGGTGAAAGGATGTCCTCAGATCTTTGTTTAGCGGTAGCGAGAACTAAGATCTGATTTTAATGACATTGATAGACAAATCCATTCAGTTTAAATTAAGTCACCATGTTCATCATCTACCTCAATGCCGACCAGTTACAATCTTTCCCTGACTGTTTCAGTTCATTCAAACCACGATGTATTCATGAGCAGACGTTACACGAACTTCCGTTTCCTGTCTCGTGTCACTATGGTGATCCAAGAAGTGTCAACTGGTATTACGTCTCAAACACGCGTCCGGAATGAATAATACTCGGTGTTGGTGCAGTAACGCCAACTGGGACCCCCGATTCCACCAATTGTGAGCAGGCGAAATGCAATCAAATGTGTTAGGTAGAATTGCAAGAAGTGTCTATTTAGGCATGAAGCCAATAATGGTCTGACCATTTTAGTATTCAAGAGGCTTGCCTTTTTTGTTCGAGACAAATATTTTATCGATCATTACTTCATACGAAAAGAATCTCAGAAAGTAGAAGTGGAACACACTGTTTTTCAGGGCATCCAGTATGGCTAGCATGTTAAAATTTTAGGCGAAATATTTTTTCTGATACTTTATTTTGAAAATACCATTCCCGCAGAATGGTCGGTCCATAACATTGACATGTTGAAATCATTTCGTATGCTCTTACTTACCTTTCGTTCGTGCATAGTGTGCATGATAAGATTTTCTACGGTTGAGGTAGAACTGAAATTATTTGATCCTTTTTGCTCTGTATTGGAAGCTAATTTTACACACGGGATATGTTTCTCCCCCAATCATAATAGTCGTCTCCATATCGGCCGTCTTTCATTGGTTAATGTGATCACGTGGTATATAAACCACTCCGATGAAACCGCATTGTGCCTGTGCGATTATAAGATTTGTAGCACGGGTTGCGAGCGGTACCTTTGATCTTACCCGTGCTGTATCATGGTAGTAAGAGCACGGTTTGTTAAAGATTATTACCATTGGCTGATGCCAAGATCAGCAAGCCCCGCCTACTAGCTTGAGAAATTTCAAACTTACAATGTTTCTTTAGTGTTGTACAGTGTTCAAGAGTAATAACGTAAATAAACAACAACAAAAAATAGAAATGTTTATAACTTAATTAAAAGATTACAATGTAACTGTCAAACATAAAAACAACTGGACACAGAACGCATTTTGCTAAATTCGGAAAATTAATAGTTGACATTTCTAATGTGCCTTTGAAAATTCCAAAGTTTACACTTGATTTAACAATTAGATTAAAAGTTAAACGTTAACGTTAAAAGTTAACGTCATATTATACGTCACTAAATTTTACACAAACTCGCGCAGTTTTGGAATGACCGTCGCAACCCGTGCTACTAGTCACTTACAACACACCCATCTACACGTTGTTTGGGCAGTAAGAGCACGGTTTGGCTTGGCATTTGATTGACAGACAAAAGGACCGAGGGGCGGAGCCCCGAGGTGATCCTTTTGTCTGTCAATTAAATGCCAAGCCAAACCGTGCTCTTACTGCCCAAACAACGTGTAGATGGGTGTGTTGTAACTATAACGCAGTGCATTGCTTATACGGGAATTATTTTCCCACATTCAGACGTGTGCCTTAAATACTTATACTTCAGACCACCTTTGTTACATTGTTTCATTGTGTGTGTCTTTGTTAAGCAGCAATTCCTATTTGTTCAATATAGTGTTTTCAACTGCTAATCACGTGGTGCATTGTTGACCACTGATGTTCATGGGCTGCTTATTTGAAAGCACAATATACATATCGACATAATAGACTTGCGCATTTATATGCCAGAGTTTAATGCATGTTACTGTTTCTATCGTCTATATTTCTATTTATGTAAAATAAAGTTGTACCGAAACTTACAGAAGTGTTGAAATTTCTCTGAACATCGCGATGCGGATTGTGGGCATAGAGGAAGTCACGTCACACTTCTGGTTGTGAATATCCTTAGTTTAAACGTACCAGTTCCGGGTGGATCCCTCTCCACATTCCACCCTGCCTCTATAACCTGCCTCTCACCAGTTCCGGGTGGATGCCTCACTCCACACACCACCCTGCCTCTATAACCTGCCACTCACCAGTTCCGGGTAGATGCCTCTCTCCGCACACCACCCTGCCTCTATAACCAGCCACACACCAGTTCAGGGTGGATGCCTCACTCCGCACACCACCCTGCCTCTATAACCAGCCACATACCAGTTCCGGGTAGATGCCTCACTCCACATACCACCCTGCCTCTATAACAAGCCACACACCAGTTCTGGGAAGATGCCTCAATCAACATACCACCCTGCCTCTATAACCAGCCACATACCAGTTCCGGGTGGATGCCTCTCTCCACATACCACCCTGCCTCTATAACCAGCCACACACCAGTTCTGGGAAGATGCCTCAATCAACATACCACCCTGCCTCTATAACCAGCCACACACCAGTTCAGGGTGGATGCCTCACTCCACATTCCACCCTGCCTCTATAACCAGCCACACACCAGTTCCGGGTACATACGCTGCAACTATTATCAACAGTTGGTGTGACACACTGCTAGGATACAGATGCATATTACCATTTACCATCGCTTTCGCTCGGTCAGATACCATAGAAGGCCCACCCGTTTCTTGAAAATGGTATCTAACGAGAATGAGTGTAGTATTCTCTTTCTATGCTCTTTACAATAGCAGTTTGGGTTTTCAATACCCCTTCGTCTTCGTGGTATTTACGTCACTTTGAATAACGTGTACTTACTGACAATAGTGACGTTTCGAGGTACCCTTCTGTCGTACATATATACCCTGACGATCCGTGAATATCCGGGGTAGAACAGGTCTTCAGCAACCCATCCTTGCCGTAAAAAAGGCTGCTATGCTTGCCGTAAAAAAGGCTGCTATGCTTGTACGACAAGCATAGCAGCCTTTTTTACGGCAAGGATGGGTTGCTGAAGACCTGTTCTACCCCGGATCTTAAAGGGTCATCAGGTGTACACATAATAATAATGGCGACTTACAGGATCGGGTGGTCAGGCTCGCTGACTTGGTTCATGCATGTCATCGTATCCCAATTACGTGGATCGATGCTCATTAGGTCAATCACTGGATTGTCTGGTCCAGACTCGATTATTTACAGACCGCCGTCATATAGCTGGAATATTGCTGAGTGCGGCGTTAAACAACATGACACAAACAAACAAAACACACTGATGACAAGCGAACAGTAATGTATGGTCCCTGTGTGGGAGGGAGGGAGTCTTTGGACACGTGAGTATACACGTCAGTAATATTTCATGTAAATTACAACAATGTCATCCTACAATTACAACAAGTATACGTGAAAATAATCAACGATTCATGAGAGACCCATTAAAACTTCACACATTAAAAATACTATATATAAACCAACATGAATGAGTTATATATGTCACTGCTTAAATTAAATCTTGTGAAAGGGTTTGGCGATATAAGTACGCCCGTACTGCACCCTACCCAACCGTCATTCAACTTGGCTCTGTCTATCGGGTCAGCGCGGTCTCGTATAGATATCGAAGTTACCGGGGACGTTGGTAGGAATTGAGAACTGTCTTAGTCATACGTGTGATACCTGTGTACTGGCAAGTGGGAACGACGGCGACCAGAAATCCTTCAATAACACCACCCGTCCTGATTAATGAACTTGATATAAGCCTATCAATAGAACTGATTCAAGGTTTCGGTCAAAAAACATAAAGGCAAGACATTATATTACATACACTGAAACAATGAATAGGGATCATGGATATTTCTGGGGGATAGGTTAATAGTGAAGACAAAGAACACAATTTCATTAAAATATCATTACAATATTCATGACCCCTAACTTTTTTGTTCAATATATATTTGTCTGTCTATGCAGGTCGTGATGACATAACACACACGCTCCGATGGCTAGCCATGATAAAGGCACAGTTCAGCGTTTTACTATTAAATGTACTATTCAAATACACTCTGTACGCTTGGATGAGACGGCTTCGCGGTATTCTGTATTTCTCAATGCATGCCTTCTGTTGTTTTCATACTTCTGTTTGAATAATACCATGAACAGATTCTTCCAATTAATGGTATACCTTCTGTAGCAGTTATTACAAGATTTGTATGCAGAACACATCTACAGAGACAGAAATAAGAACAACAATGTTATCGACCCGATTGGTTGGTTGGTTTGTTGTTTAACGCCGCACTCAGCAATATTCCAGCTATATGACGGCAGTCTGTAAATAATCGAGTCTGGACCAGACAATCCAGTGATTAATATCATGAGCATCGATCCACGCAATTGGGATCGATGACAGGTATCAACCAAGGCAGCGAGCCTGACCACCCGATCACGTTAGTCGCCTTTTACGACAAGCATAGTCACCTTGTACGGCAAGCATGGGTTGCTGAAGACCTATTCTACCCGGGAATCTTCACGGGTCGTTATGGACCCGAACTCCTGTGTAAACGAAACTTTTTTCAAATCTTCCCGATTTCTATATGCAGCAATATACTGTTTTGGTTGCATATGTATTGTTCCAAGTTAATATGTTCTCGCCCTATAAATCTTATAACTGTGTAGATACTGTTCTTCTTTTTACCTGGTTGCAATAATGTATCAATAATTATCTTTGACGCAAATATACTCACCGCCAAAAGTAACGCGAACCATAGGAACCATGAAGAGAAGGGTGTATATGTTAAGAAGAGATGTTTTCAATGTGTACCAATTAATGACAAAACTAACAATCAGTCAAGAGTCACCACAGAGTGTCTTTAATCTTATCGGGATGTGCTGCACGCTATTCCTGCACGAGACGAATCGTGCATCTCGAGTCATTGATCTATGACGTTACATGTGGTGCGTTCATGAGCATCGGTTCAGATACTCGCTTGTGCATCGAACCAATCTAACATCTCCTGGATATGAGAAGTCTTCATAATTATATTAACCAACATTTAATGGTATTCGCGTTTCTTTTGGCGGTGAGTATATTAACCTTGAACTATAACGTTCCATATTTTCACATCCGGAGTTACCTGATAAGTGGAAGTGCCGTTATTCGACCCCCATGATTTTAACTATGTTGGCCATTACCACAAAACGCCGGAAAAGATTCTTTGAAAGGAGGAACAGAATAATCTAAAAATAAATCAGGACATCCAGCAAATATACTGTTTTGGTAAAACAATTGTTAAGCACAAATTAATATATTTTTTTCCATTTTGTTATGGAACAAATATTTGTTCAAACAAAATCCAATTTCGTACATTGTCAAACTTATAGTATACACGAGAGTAATATTACTTATTAATTACAACAATGTAATGCTACAAATACAACAATAGTATACGTGAAAATAATCAACGATTCATGAGAGACCCAAGTTCATCAAAACTTCACACATTAAAAATACTATATATAAACCAACATAAATAAGTTATATATGTCACTGCTTAAATAAAACCTTTTGAAAGGGCTTGGCGATATAAGTACGCCCGTACTGCACCCTACCCAACCGTCATTCAACTTGTCTCTGTCTATCGGATCAGCGCGGTATATCTATATATCGAGGTTACCGGGGACGTTGGTAGGAATTGAGTTTTCGTGGAAGATGGGGTAATTGTCCGATGATAAAACTTATGTGGATCTATAACCGGATAGGATTATGTATTAAAGTCCTCGGTACTAGCGTATAGTGACTGTATAGCTTCAACAGAAACCACTCCTCTAGTTCCGGGAAAAAATATGCGTACATAGCCGAAACACAATACCGTCACAAACAGGTGTACGTAACGTACACAAAACACACTGATAGTCTCTTCTTTCGAGTCATGTGAGCCTGACGTGGGCCTTAGGGGGCAGTTCAAAAGTTCGATGTCGGATAAATATCTTAATTCCCTGAATTAAAGGTCAGGGTGAGGTGTGATGGTATTCACATGTTTGCACATATTTCATCCGATAAAATCAACTTTTAATCGTAATATTTCAACTCCGAAAATGAAAAGCATCACTGTCGTTTTGGTAAAACCACATGGAACTACAAGACACACCGTGCTACTTCAAAAATATTTGGTGTGTTGGTTCTGCAAGGAAACGGTGATTTCTTAGTTCTTTTTTCAAAATGTCACTCAACTTGTGGAAATAAAAATTCAACATCGAAGTTTTGAAATGCCCCCTTACTCTATTATAGTGACTATTCTATTGTCATCACATGACTTGTGAAAATGAGTACAAGTTCATCATTTACATACTTCCACACCTTGGGATTTCCCTAGGAAGATACCTTTCCTTCATCAGGCTTTGTGACACGTGTGTGTTGCTGACGACTGTCGAGGTTTGCCCATCAAGCTAGAAATAACCAGATCAATATATATAACTACCGTGTAGGTAGCGCGTATCCTTTCAAACCTGCGCATTCATACGACAGAACGGTGATTGTACTGACACAGTAAACGAGCTTTGTGGTGAAACACTCGCGGTACATGCTATATAGAAATGCCCAGACTGGCTAACGCTCGGACCGTGTACCGGTCAAGGATGTCTTTCGCTGACCTACAGGACTACTCATCAATACGTGAGAAGTGTTTGTCCGAGGGGGTGTTGTTCGAGGATCCGGAGTTCCCGGCAGAGGTTGCCTCCCTTTGTTACACCAAACCACCCGACAGAGACGTCATCTGGAGACGGCCGGGCGTGAGTGTTGTTGCCCTTCCAGTGTAACTCTTCGCGGTCAGGTCGACGGGGTAGTCTAGTACACGTAGTTAAAGTGTTTGCTCGTTTCGCCGATGACCAGGATGGATTTGCTATGTGAAACGCATTCTAATACCAGCTGTGATATATATTGATATAAAGGCACAAGGTGCAGTGAAAAATACTCACCAACTCGCTCGTCGTGCCTTGTACAGTACTAGATTTAACACTGTACCCTATAGAATATTCGATTCGTGCCGTAGCTGAAATGCTGTGCAAAGCGACATTAAACCCGACCTGACTCGCCCACAATTACCAAAGAAAGAACCTAGAGCTAAGGCAATCTAGACTTGCCAAATCAATCTAGACTTGAGTTTGATTCGTTTTTCCACGGACCTAATTATTTAGTCCGTGGTTTTAAATACATGTCTAGGGTCTGGGAGACAGACTTCCCAAATGCATGCTGGTCCCCTATATGTTGTTCAGGCCCCGTCACGTGGATATTCTTTGGGATGAGGGGCTGGGAAATTGTTTTTTTTGGGGGGGGGGAAATGATCCGGAGACAAAATGTAGAAATAGAATCATCAGCTTTTCCAAAATATAAACTGTTCGCTGAACACGATTGTGATGTAAAGACCTGTCACCTTCATTATCGGGCACTGTTGACTCAGTGTAAGTTAAATGTACGTCTGCGGTAGAGTATGGATTAGGAGTATGGATAGAGTACAGCACGTGTGTCTGTGAGGAGAGGGATACTTCAACATAAAGTGTGAACGTTCAATAACCCCCCCCCCCCCCCCCCCCCCCGACCCCGGCTGCTCTCATCACCATTATTATCACAGAGCATCACAGTCCATGTTACCATAATTATTATTTTCCCTTGCGCCCAGCCCTTACTGTAATGGTATGGTTCTAAATAAAGCAAGTCTAGAGTTTCCACAGGTATAGCACTGAAACGTCCATCTCACTGAGGTTCCTTTTCAATTTAAATGTAACACATGCTTGCCGTAAAAGGTGACTATGCTTGTCGTAAGAGGCGACTAACAGGATCGGGTGGTCAGGCTCGCTGACTTGGTTGATGCATGTCATCGATCCCAATTGCGTGGATCGATGCTCATGATATTAATCACTGGATTGTCTGGTCCAGACTCGATTATTTACAGACCGCCGTCATATAGCTGGAATATTGCTGAGTGCGGCGTTAAACAACAAACCAACCAACCAATCGGGTCGATAACATTGTTGTTCTTATTTCTGTCTCTGTAGACGTGATCTGCATACAAATCTTGTAATAACTGCTACAGAAGGTATACCATTAATTGGAAGAATCTGTTCATGGTATTATTCAAACAGAAGTATGAAAACAACAGAAGGCATGCATTGAGAAATACAGAATACCGCGAAGCCGTCTCATCCAAGCGCACAGAGTGTATTTGAATAGTACATTTAATAGTAAAACGCTGAACTGTGCCTTTATCATGGCTAGCCATCGGAGCGTGTGTGTTATGTCATCACGACCTGCATAGACAGACAAATATATATTGAACAAAAAAGTTAGGGGTCATGAATATTTTAATGATATTTTAATGAAATTGTTTTCTTAGTCTTCACTATTAAACCTTTCCCCCAGAAATATCCATGATCCCTATTCATTGTTTCAGTGTATGTAATATAATGTCTTGCCTTTATGTTTTTTGACTGAAACTTTGAATCAGTTCTATTGATACGCTTATATCAAGTTCATTAATCAGGACGGGTGGTGTTATTTAAGGATTTCTGGTCGCCGTCGTTCCCACTTGCCAGTACACAGATTATATATACATATATAGCTGGACTATTGCTTAGTGCCAACCAAACAACCAACAGCTAAATGTAGTTGCTTGTTTCTAACAAAATTAGTTATTTTCAGAGACTACGCATTAGTCCGTGAGTCATACTGCATTGCCTGGTGTTGAATCATGGTGTTCAAAAGGTGAAAAGGTGCAAACAATTAATTACAATGTTCACAGCTGTTGTCAGACAACAAAACACAATAACTGAAGTAAGCAGTGTAGCTATCACACGCAGAAACCCGCCGCTTTTAGCAATATTCCAGAAATATCAAGGCGGGAGAGACGGATGGGCTTCACACATTGTACCCATGCGGGGAATTGAAACCGGGCCTTCGGGACGACGAGCGCCTGCATTAACCACTGGGCTGTCTCACCGCCCCTATCCAAAAGAAAGAATGAGAGAGAATTGATTGAGTGAGTGAGTGCGTATGGTTTTACGCCCCTTTTACCAAAAGTCCAGAAATATAACGGCGAGGGACACCAGAAATCGGCTTCACACATTGTGCCCATGTGGGGAATCGAACCTCTTCCGCGTGACAAGCGAACACTTTAACCGCTAGGCTACCCCACCGCCCCTTTTTTTAAGACGAAGCATGTGATATCCTCGAAACACAACACTGCACAAAGCACGTGATACAAGCGTTGTTTGGTGACTGTGCTAAGGATGATACTGAAAATCACAAAGTCACGTGTTTATTACACCCGGAAGTATTGATATGCTGTTGTTTATTCATGACATAAGCAGTATATTTAAACAATTTATTCGCGGTTGCGGGTATATACTCTCAGCCCTGAAGTGTACACTCAATCAATATAGCCAATGAGAAACGGCCTGTGTTTTGTATGGACTTTACCCGACATGACCACCGTCAATGCCTTTCCTCAAGGGTTGATAACAAATGCACGTACACTTGTCTCCATGAGAGTTATCAAATGATCTGCTTTTTTAGCCCACCTGACTGAAAGTCAAGTGAGCTTATGTCATGACCTGCTTGTCCGTCGCCCGCGTCGTTTGTAAATATCAGTTGACCAATGAAGCTGAAACACATACTTATTCCCGTCGAAGATGACACCTGAATTTATTTGTTAAAGAGTGAGTGAGTGAGTTGGGTTTTACGCCGCTTTTAGCAATATTCCAGCAATATCACGGCAGGGGACACCAGAAATGGGCTTCACACATTGTACCCATGTCGGGAATCGAACCTAGGTTTTCGGCGTGACGAGCGAACGCTTTAACCACTAGGCTACCCGACCGCCCTATTTATTGAAGAGGTTGAATCCGATATCAATATGGCCACCACGGCAGCCTTTTCAAGTTATTACAGCCATGTATGACCGTTACTCGGTGACTATTGTTCAAAATGTAATGGCATTGGGTACATGTGTAGTAAGGCATTGGGTACATGTGTAGTAAGGCATTGGGTACATGTGTAGTAAGGCATTGGGTACATGTGTAGTAAGGCATTGGGTACATGTGTAGTAAGGCATTGGGTACATGTGTAGTAAGGCATTGGGTACATGTGTAGTAAGGCATTGGGTACATGTGTAGTAAGGCATTGGGTACATGTGTAGTAAGGCATTGGGTACATGTGTAGTAAGGCATTGGGTACATGTGTAGTAAGGCATTGGGTACATGTGTAGTAAGGCATTGGGTACATGTGTAGTAAGGCATTGGGTACATGTGTAGTAAGGCATTGGGTACATGTGTAGTAAGGCATTGGGTACATGTGTAGGAAGGCAATGGGTACATGTGTGGTAAGGCATTGGGTACATGTGTAGTAAGGCATTGGGTACATGTGTAGTAAGGCATTGGGTACATGTGTAGTAAGGCATTGGGTACATGTGTAGGAAGGCATTGGGTACATGTGTAGGAAGGCATTGGGTACATGTGTAGTAAGGCATTGGGTACATGTGTAGTAAGGCATTGGGTACATGTGTAGTAAGGCATTGGGTACATGTGTAGGAAGGCATTGGGTACATGTGTAGTAAGGCATTGGGTACATGTGTAGTAAGGCATTGGGTACATGTGTAGGAAGGCATTGGGTACATGTGTAGTAAGTAGTTAGGGCTCAGCATACATGTTCCGGGGTTTGTTTTGCCCTATCTGTGATGTGATTTGATGTGAAATTGGGTTTAACGTCGCGTCCAAGATTATTGCACTTATATAGCGACGTGCATGTACGTGTGTGTGTTTGTGTGGCTGCTTGTACTAGTCCGGACTGATGCCGATTTATAGTGCTAGCTCACTGAGATACCATGCCGCAGTTTAACATGAATACCCCACTCAGACACTGTATACTGACTCCGAGCAGACCAGTCCTTGTTTTAGCCCTTTAATGCCGAGCGCCAGACAGGGTAACAGCAAGTACCATCTTTTAACGTCTTTTGGTATGACGCGGCCGGGGATCGTACCCCGGACCTTCCGCTCTCCGGGCGGACGCTCTACCACTAGACCACGGAGGCGGTCTGTTTTGCCATATCTAAAGGTTTAAACTTGATATGACCTCTGCGTATCGAGCTGCAGCCTGAGCCACGTTCCTTCAAAATGTAGCGGAACTGGATATTTGTATAGTTTGAAATGGGCCTCAACACATATGTTCCGTTTTTCCGTCTTTAAAGGTTGACCTATATTTGGCATTTGCTTCTAAATTGTCACAAAATGCATATTCTGCTCTGCAAACCACTTCTCGTCTGAAATTGGAAGACTGACAGCAAGTTTTGCTCTATGGCTGTCTATGTTTTCCAAACTTGTCTACATATCCAGGTGAGCTACCTGTCCGTTGTCGATTATAAAGTAGGTCCCTAGGTGCGTATTCTTGTGTAACTAACATGTACACGTAATGTTCATTTGCAGGAATTCTGCGCGAATCCACAGTGGATGAATGATGACTTCAGCCGGTTCGATGTTGTACAGGGATACCTAGGTACATATTGTTCAGTACGCTGTGAACATCTTAACTTGTTACATCTTCAATGTTCAAGGACGTGGATTTCAATGTACCTCAGAAATCACATGTTTTCTGAAAACAAACCCCTGAGTAGTTGTGGAATGTTCGTTCATATTTATAGATGCAAATTTGCACATATAATGCCATACCAAATAGAAACCAATGCTTCTTGTTGTTTAACGCACCACTCAGCCATATTCCAACTGTATGGCGGCGGTCTGTAAATAATCTAATCCGGACCAGATAATCCAGTGATTAACATCACGAGCATCGTTCTACGCAATTGGGATACGATGACATGCATCAAATGCATCAGCGAGCTTGAGCCCCCGATCCTGTTAGCATATAGTCGCTTTTAACGACAAGCATGGGTTGCTGAAGACCCATTCTACCCCGGATGTTCTTGGGGAAGAAACAAATAATATCACCAACCATGTCTAATGGTGTTTGAACAGATATGTTTTATGCTTGAATCTAAGCTAGGAGGACGGGTGGGCGCAATTCTTTGTGTCAAGCTGTGTCTCCTCCCATGGCCCGGTCAAGTGGTCATGGGTTCGGATCTGAGATCCGTGGTCTATTAGTATTTTATGACCGTCCCAGCATGCGTCATTTCGAACGCATCTCCGTTGGTATTAAGGGGTCGAATATCCTATGCCGGGCGGGTGGTCAGTTTGGTGACTTGGTTGATTGCGTGTCATCGTACCCCGACGATGTGGATCGTTGCTCACAATTTGGATTGTCTGGTCCAGACTCGATTATCCACAAACCGTCGTCATACAGCTGTAACACTGCTGGGTGCGGCGTAAAATATGAACTCCGTTATGTGATTGAAATTTTGAAGCAGCGTTAAGCACACCTCTTTGTCTCAACTCGCCTAATTAAGATGGTGCATGTGATGGCACAAATTAACTGGTTTTAACTTTGCGTTCGCAACCGGAAGTTCATCTCCGGTAGCCGATTCTAGTAATATGAGCACATATGGCGCATATTATATTTTTAATTTCGCATGCCACTGATCACAGCATAGTTAAAATATGTATAAATCTTTTATTATTTGCAGGTGATTGTTGGTTGTTGGCCGCTGTTGCCTCGCTTACCTGTAACAAACGACTTCTCGCGCGAGTAGTCCCACCTGAACAGAGTTTCCAACATGGCTACTGCGGGATTTTTCACTTCCGGTTGTGGTACCAAGGGCAGTGGGTTGATGTGGTCGTGGACGACAGACTGCCGACCTTTGACACCCACAACCCTCAACTACTTTACATGCACTCTGCAAGCAAGACTGAATTCTGGAGCGCTCTCTTGGAGAAAGCGTATGCCAAGTATGTGTGAACGATCACAAAGATGTGTAACTATCCTCACTTAGATATCTATAGGCTGCAACTTTCTTCTCCCAGTTATATGGATTTTCTAGTCCAGAATGCATAGATGAAGAAGCGAAACGTATACAAGTAAAATATGGGTATTTAAAAGTTACTGATGGTAAATGTAAATTTCGAAAGTGAATGCAAAAATGATCAATCATCATCTCACTCTATCCAATGTGTGAGTTCTTTCGGCAAATCAAAGGCAGGCTTCTCTGTAATGGCCTGGGTCGGGTTCCACAAAGCCATCTTAGAGATCTAAGATTTTTTCGCTAAGATCGATGTCTGCATAAGGCCCTGCTCTACAAGCCGAATTAAGCCCTAAGTCATATATGGCCCCAAGAACTAACTGCATAGCAATAAGGCAGACACCGAATCATGAATTTGTTTTGGGTAGGTCTCATGTTGCCTACATTCCAAAATGCCTACACTCGTATAAGAACGGTCTATTGATTGTCATTAAACATACGAATGGATTAAGCAGGCCGTCGTGAAAAATTGAATAACCACAATGTATGTTTCCCAATGTGCTGACACTATGTCATTCTGTATTTGTCTCACGAATGACACAAGTCATGGTAACGATAAAGCGACAAGTCACAAGAGTGTCAGTCTTAGAGTCTAGCGAAGTTAACAAGTGCATATACTGCATAAATAAATATATGGTCATATGTATTTTATATATCTACAATGATCACACCATATCAGAGTCAACATGTCAAGCCTTTATTTTGTTTCTTGGCCCCGTCATCTGTTGTGGCTGGAATATTTTAAAATCGGTCTGAAGCCCAGTTCACTCACGATTACCTGATTGTCTGTAGAGTGGACGTTAATGTCGTCTCAGTGACTCCTAATTCCCATCTCGCTGTTTGTCTGCAGGGTGTACAGATGCTATGAGAGTCTTCAGGGCGGCAGTGCGATAGAAGCGATGGAAGACTTGACGGGTGGGCTTGGGGAGACAATTCTTGTCGGAAACACTCCACCCGACTACCTGGTGGAGGTGATGGAAAAGACGCTAGAAAGAGGAGGTGTCATGACCTGCTCAATGAACATAAAGGAGGTAGGTTCCAAGTTTCCCTCACCAAGTCATATGGGGATTTCACGGTAGAGAACGTCTTTGCTTCTGTCATAGCGACTGATTTACGACTACCATTGTCTGAAGTACATTTGACTCCAAAGGCAAATTACCCTGTAGCCATGTCTCCATTGTTGTTCATTACTATATATGTGCTACCATTACACTGTTACTACGGTGTTAGTCAAGCTTGGTATTCCGAGTGCTGGTGTAGGGACGACCTCGAGCAGGATGTGCCGCTCGTAGGAAACGTCCTGAGGTTAAGCTGGAGCTCCGCTCACCTCAGGTATACCTGAGCTGGAAGGTCCGCTCATCGCTGTGTTTGTGTTGTCAGAGCAGGTATTCCGCTCATTGTGCAATTGTTGTTTATTGTTTACATGTTGTGCATAAAGCGTTCCGGGACAGTGATGTCGATTTTGTCCTTTATTCCCCAAGAGCTAATTCCCCGTCAACATGCGCGTTGACACTTCTGTTAAGTCTCACATGGAGCTCGGGGAAGAATATGTCCCCAACGGCGGACTGTCGTGATGATGCCGTGACAGAATGGGGCTCCAGAAACCTAGGTTTGTGTCCTCACTGGAGACTACAGGGCGGAATGTACATAACAAGAACCCTCATATATGTTAGTGGCTTCCGGAACAGAATAGGTTCACATTACCGGGGATCGGGTTGTTTCAATGTCTTGACTTCCCTGGCATCATAGTCCACAGGAAACCGTTAGTCGTGCTGTCAGTCTGGCGGATGCCTGGTCAAGACCAAGCTGTAGTAACACATAACGTTTACTGATCCACCAAGACGTTGACCCTACCTACACCCTACCTTATCAAAGCTTAATACAAGATGATGTGTCTCCTTCAGCCTGACTTCTCCGTGAACGTCCGTAGATCAATCGAGGGTTTGCTTGGAAACCATACTTACAGCATCACAGGCCTAAAACTGGTAAGAATCTTCTCTTCTACCGTCTTAACATAACAGTATTAATCAGATAATTGTTAGTGTTATCGTACGATAAACCAATCCGATAAACTTGGTATCGTGACCCGTTAATATGCAAATGAGGTCACTTAGCAAGAACTACGTTTAGTAAGCTGTGGACATTGATGTGTGGGTTACTTCCTCAGAAACAATTGCCTCACGTTCCCTAAATAATCAGATAGTGGCGCCGCCGCCTCACCAACGACTACGTCGACGATGAAGAATCGCCGTCCGACTTCCTGCCTGTGTGTAAGTGACAGAGTGTGTCCACGCACCGGGAACATTGGCCACTCGGCCCGGTGTGCGTTTTGTCACGTTACTACTATCATCGTGTACCTTTTCGTTTTTCCTCCCAAACAATTAATCTGGTCTTCTTTTACTTCACCCCTGAGTTTTGCTTCCGCCGTACACCCTGAGCTACCATCCGAGGGCAAACATATACTCTTGGACAGTATGTATTACGCTCGCCCTAGGCTCGCATAATGAGTTTGTTTTCCACATATTTTATATGTACAATACAAAAAAACACTCGACTAAGAATCTGAATATAAGTTTTTATGGATGATGGTGTCGCTTTCCTCTCCCATGTTGTATTCTGTCTCCAACAGCTGCCGCTGATGGACGGGTCGAAAACAAGGCTGATCAGGATCCGGAATCCCTGGGGAGATGGGCAGGAGTGGCGGGGCAGATGGGCCGATGGGTGAGTGTCGACATGGACTGTCCCACAGTAACAAGCACATTTATTGTAGGCGTGTCAAGCCTATTTCTGGTGTCCCCCGTATTGCTGGAATATTGCTAAAAGCGGCGTAAAACCATACTCACCCACTCAGATTATAGATATTGTTGTCTGAATCGTCCGCTACTTACCTTATTTAGATTTTGTTTGTTGTTTAACGCCGTACTCAGCATATTCCAGCTGTATGACGGCGGTCTGTAAATAATCAAATCGGACCAGACAATCCAGTGATTGACATCATGAGCATCGATCAACGCAATTGGGATACGATGACATGCATCAACCAAGTCAGCGAGCCTGACCACCCGATCCCGTTAGTCCCTTAAGACAAGCATAGTCGCCTTTTACGACAAACATGGGTTTGCTGAAGACCTATTCTAACCCGGATCTTCATGGGTAACCTTATTTAATGCACGTATCGTGAAGAGGAGGCCGGCAAAGGGATAGTCTAAACAAGAGCCTGTCTTTATGGCGTAATCGTTGAAAACAGTTGACATGCAGATTTAGTGGGGCTGAATATTGATGTGATGCGCTGGAATCCAATCCTACCTCCGAAGTATCGAACGTGATTTTTCGAACTGTTTAACTACTTTATACATTACTATGCGTAATAGATTTGGATAATTTGACCTCTAAATGAACCCGTTTGGGTTCACTTGACACTCGAGACACTATCTATAGTTGTCTAAGACTCACTCTGGTCATCTTCCCGAGGCAAGTGAGTTAACTGACTATAAAAGTCCAGTTTCCACCCTTGCCGAACTAGACTGGGATTATGGAGTTAGATTTTGGCTGGACTAACGAGTCTATGTATAGTCCAATCAAAATCGCGCACCGAAATCGAAATCCGGTTCGTAAACTGTCATGCTGAGTTCGGTCGATTGCAGGATTTGCAAATCATGTACATCGCCAACTCGTTGTCAACAGATATTTTCCAAATCTTTTCATGTTTTTTTCAAGGTGCTCACGTAATTTGATGTACTTCGCGAAGTAAGAACCATTTATCACCAAATAGATCTTGATGGTAGATCAGATCGTCTTGACTGGGCGCCGCCGTTTTGTTTGAAGCAAATGCAAGTGATACGAGAGGTAGAATTTGATTGGTCCATAGGAGAGGCATAGAAGGGACATAACTGGTAACAGCCACTGGTGGAGCTACGATCGAGCCCAGGAATTCCAGCCTAGTTCGGCAAGGGTGGAAACTGGACTTTTAAAGTCAGTTAACGCTCTTGCCTCGGGATATTTAAGTGTTTCCAATTCCCCGACCGACTGATTTTACTTTGAGAAAGCCATGTCTAAAGTTTTAAGTTAAGAAACTAAATAAAAGGATCTTATACTTTCTGATTTGTTTTCCTAAATTTAAGATACGTTGGTGCAAACAGAGCTTCGAGAACGACAGCGTTAAGATTCACGACAATCTTAACGCTGTGCAGCTTCGTGAATAGGCCGCATGGCCTCCGTTGTCATTGGGTAACAGTGAGTGAGTGAGTGAGTGAGTATGGTTTTACGCCGCTTTTTTAGCAATATTCCAGCATTATCACGGCGGGGGACACCAGAAATGGGCTTCGCACATTGTACCCATGTCGGGAATCGAACCCGGGTCTTCGGCGTGACGAGCGAACGCTTTAACCACTAGGCTACCCGACCGCCCCCATGTGTAACAGTCAGTATCTCCTTTTGTGCTTTGACCTCTACAGTGACCAACGCTTTGACCAATGTCCTCACTCTGTCTTTTGTCCACTAGAGCTGCTGAGTGGAATCTGATACCACAAGACACCAGGCGACAGCTGAGCGTGCGCGACGACGAGGATGGAGAGTTCTGGTCAGTGAGCTGGCAAAACACTGGCTTCTAACGGACAATGTTTCTTTTTCTAAATAATATATGTGATAAAGCACATGTGATATGTGATATTTGTTGGTGTGTCACTTAGATGAGAGTGGCATTTTATGCTGTTATTGATTATGATACAGTGTTAATATTTCTTTACTTAGAATCTTTTCGGCGTTTACGTCTCAGGAAAGGGTCGTTTGTGTAAAGGTTAAGGTGGGGAAGGGGTAGGGTACAGATATGACTGAATCATATTTTGCTGTCCTCCTCACCTCCCCCATGTTATGTAACATTTATAGATATTTGAACAAAACAGAAGTGTTTCATTTTTATGCCTTCCCCCACCCGACCGCCTCCGTGGTCTAGTGGTAGAGCGTCCGCCCGGAGAGCGGAAGGTCCGGGGTTCGATCCCCGGCCGCGTCATACCAAAAGACGTTAAAAGATGGTACTTGTTGTTACCCTGTCTGGCGCTCGGCATTAAGGGGCTAAAACAAGGACTGGTCAGCTCGGAGTCAGTATACTGTGTCTGAGTGGGGTATTCATGTTAAACTGCGGCATGGTATCTCAGTGTGCTAGCACTATAAATCGGCATCAGTCCGGACTAGGACAAGCAGCCACACAAACACACACGTACATGCACGTCGCTATATAAGTGCAATAATCTTGGACGCGACGTTAAACCCAATTTCACCTAACCTCACCTTCCCCCACCCACCCTGGGTATCTCGACTTCTCTAGATCTTGTACACATCAACCCGGGTACAAATACATATTTTTCAGTTCTAATTGTCTGAGAGAAAGAAATCCGCCAAACTCTGCGAGATAATCAGTTATCTTCCCGACTAACTTGTATAGTCAGTTAACGCCCTTGCCTCGGGAAGATGGCAATCAATTTGTTGTGACCTCATTTGACGTATCTATATTTTCAGGATGTGTATGGACGATTTTAGAGCCCATTTTAGCAAAATTGACCTGTGTAATCTGGACCCGCTGCATCTAGGGGACGCTGGGGTGACGACTGACAAACAGTGGGACGTTGCCAGCTACCACAAGTCATGGATCAAATATGTCAACGCCGGGGGATGCCTCAACTATGTTGGTCAGTCAATTACACATAACACTGATTAATCTCATCTCACCGAAAGCCACACATAACGCTGATTAGTCTCATTTCACCGGAAGTCCCTTACACATAACACTGATTAATCTCATCTCACCGAAAGCCACACATAACACTGATTAATCTCATCTCACCGGAAGTCACTTACACATAATACTGATTAATCTCATCTCACCGGAAGTCACTTACACATAACACTGATTAGTCTCATCTCACCGGAAGTCACTTACACATAACACTGATTAATCTCATCTCATCGGAAGCCACACAAAACACTGATTAATCTCATCTCACCGGAAGTCACACATAAAACTGAATGTTGTTGTTTTTTATCCTGTTTCTCACGTCAACCTTTAATTTCTCTTTAATATTATCCACACATTGTTAAACAAGGATTAGAATCAGGTTTTCGACCGTGAAGACGAGCCAATCGCTGCTAAATACTTCAACTTCGATCCCCCAGATTCCATGTGGAGGAACCCTCAGTTCCATGTCCAGCTGATGGAGGCAGACGACACGAGCGGCACGTGCACCATGATTGTTGCCCTGATGCAGAAGGACACGCGACGCCTCTTTAAAGACGGGCATGAATACCTGGGAATAGGATATGTCATATACAAGGTAGGTAACTCTTGGCTTCTTTCCATCGCCCAATGGAATCTGTTTCGGCAGAGACTGGTTGTCCTCTGGTGTTGACGTTATATATTTATATAACAATGTTACATAAGTTGACCTTATCTTTAAGAATACGCTCTATTCAAAGAAGGGGTAAAATAGGTCTTCAGCAACCCATGCTTGCCGTAAAAGGCGACTATGCTTGTGGTAAGAGGCGACTAACACAATCGGGTGATCAGGCTCGCTGATTTGGTTGATGCATATAATCGTATCCCAATTTCGTGGATCGATGCTCATGATTTCAATCACATGAATCTTTGTTTTTTTTGCCACTTTTTACAATATTTCAGTTATATCATGGCGCCTGACTCTGTAATGTGTTTCACACACTGCACGCAATACTTTTATCATAAGGCTGGCACACAGTCTGCTTGTGAGATGCATCTAAATGGACATTGAAGGTGTATGAAAGAATACAAGGAAAGGTAACCGCCTGGTTAGGTTGGTGTGTCATCGTACCCCGACGGCGTAGTTCATCCATCTGTAAAAAATGACCTCCACTCCATCCTCCAGCTTCCTGAATCAAATGAAGGCAGACCGCTGACCAGGGAGTTCTTCACACAGAACAGACCGCTGGGGAAGAGCAAGGCCTTCTCTCAGACCAGGGAGGTGTGTGGACGACACCAACTTCCACCCGGCGACTACGTCATAATCCCATCAACATTCCACCCAGATCAGGCGGCACACTTCCTGTTGAGGATATTCACAGAGAAACGGAAGTCATTCAAGTAAGTCATGTAGGCTTAATTCAAAGTCTTTCAAGTTTCTGCATCGAGGCCTTGGCTGTGCATGTTTATCGCTTTTGGAGTTCTATCCGAAAGTGTGAGTATGGTTTTACGCCGCTTTTAGCAATATTCCAGCAATATCACGGCGGGGGACACGGATGGGCTTCACACATTTTACCCATGTGGGGAATCCAACCCGGGTCTTCGGCGTGACGAGCGAACGCTTTAACCAATAGGCTACCCGACCGCCCCAAGAGAGAATGGAAGTGCGTTCGGATATAAGAGAATCAAGTTGGATCGCCATTACCACCACCTCCCATGTTACAACAACACTGTTGGGAGCTGAGTTAAAACTGTCCACATTATTGTTCCACAAAGCGACTCATGAAGATCCGGGGTAGAATAGGTCATAAACCTTATGTTAAGTAATGGGAGTTAACTTAGGTCGCTTTGTGGAACAGGTCTTTCTCTCTACAATGTTATTTGTGTTTGACCTTGAACTTATTTTATTCCGTGAAACTTATAAACGTTTTAATATGGCACAATTATTATTAATAATTATTCGATCATGTTTCAGTGAGATGGATGACGTCACATCGTTTGAGGTGAGTTTACTGGATTCATATACAGCATCCCAATTCACTAAAAATGGGACAAAACCCTTTCTAAAATCATAAGAAATCTCTTCTAAAAGTAGATTCCATTGTAGATTCTGACTAGATCATAAGCATACGTTTATGAATCACTGTCAAATGGTGATTATACCAGTTGTTCGCGAACAGGTGAGAGTATCCCACCAGTGATTCATACGCCCTTTGTTCATTTTATATAAGTCTAATACCAAAGAACACAATATGAATTCAGTTATGTTTGTATGTACTTAGTGTATATATACTTGCACCCCTCACCAGGAAATCGACTCACCTGACTGTGTGGATGGTATAATGGATGACCTGGATCACCTCATGATAGATGTAGGGGAGGAAGAGATTATTGATGCCTATAGACTGAAAGAGATCCTGGGTTTATTGTTTACAACTGGTAAGCATAGCAACTGTGTTAAACGATGTATATAACTGGCAATACATGTGAACATCCGGGTTAGAAGTGGTCTTTAGAAACTAATGCTTTGTCATTAGAGGCGACTATGCTTGTCGTAAGAGGCGACTAACGGGATCGGGTGGTCGGGTGTCATCGTTTCCCAGTTGCGAGGATCGATGCTCATGATGTCAATCACTGGATTACCAGTGTTAAACAACAAACAAAGATCTATCTTGCAGTTTGCCACCTTCTCGATTACCTCGTGCGATTCCAATGGCATGACGTGTAATGCCCAATCAGATTACACTCATGTCCGAAAGAAATTCTGTGCTATGTTAATGATGCGAGAGATACTGACGTCACTTTCAAAATGGCTCCTGGGTGTTTATCAATGGAGATACTATAAACTGGAGAGTGGGGAATGAAACGATGCGTGGATTTTAGGTATGTCGTAAGAGGCGACTAAATGGATCGGGTGGTCAGAATCGGTGACTTGGCTGATTACATGTCATCATGTCCCAATTGCTGGTGTCCCCCGTCGTAATTTTGCTGGAATATTGCTAAAAGCGGCGTAAAACCATACTCACTCACTCACTCATGTGGCTGATCTTTTAATAATCATCTTTCAGAGTTCACGTTCTCGGGGTTTTCACTTGACGCCTGTCGGAGCATGATCGCCATGTTGGATGTATCCTTACGCCGAGTCGGATGAAGTTACCCCCGTCATCATTCGTGACCAACTCGTGTTATACGGAAAGGGGCGAGTGGTGACGAATGCACCGTCATTTATCTAATCATTCTGTAAACACGACGCTGTACATGGAAGCGCTACATTGAGCGCTGCAGTCACGTATATTGTAGACACGGTGTGTGAAATATAGCATGGTGCAGTTTAAAACACCTTAACTACCGTAAATTCTTCAAAATAAGCCTGCTTTGATTTAGCGCATGTCGTGAATAAACATAAGGTCAAACAATAGATGAACAACGAAACGAAATTATTGAGAACCTGATGCAAACGCTTCTCTGATAACATAACACCTGATTTGAATAATGGACCACATCCTAAACAGGCAGCTTTCATACAGCTGGTGAGTGCAGTGTTGAAGAATGTACAAACAAACAAACAGAAGTAAGGACTTGTTACTGACAATGTGGGCTGTTTTATGAAAGTGACCTTTTGACTTTTGAAAGGGTCATATTTATGTAGTGAAGGTCAGCTCCTGTGATTGTTTCGCCTTGACCTCACCAGCATCAGATGACCGGCAGCCTGGACTTCAAGGGATACAAGGACCTGTGCCGCCACCTACTGGACTGGAAGGTACACCCGCCCTGATGCCCTGATGCCCTGTACAACAAGCCACATACCACTTACAGACAAGCACACGCCATTTCTTCAACATCGACGTGAAGACCAACACTCCCTCTACACAATCACACGTCCTTTTCTTCAACAGCGAAGTGAAATCCCTATATATTTCGAATGCACAATAACACGTCCCTTACTTCAACAGCGGACTACCTCCGAGGTCTCGATCCCCGGCCGCGTCATGCCAAAATACGTTACAAGATGGTACTTGTTGTTACCCTGTCTGGTGCTCGGCATTAGGGAGCTAAAACAAGGACTGGTCGGCTCGGAGCCCGTATACTGTGTCTGAGTAGGGTATTCATGTTAAACTGCGGCATGGTATCTCAGTGGGCTAGCACTAAAGAGATCGGCATTAGTCCGGGCTAGTACAAGCAGCCTAACACACACACACACACACACACACACACACACACACACACACACACACACACACACACATGCACGTCGCTATATAAGTGCACCCATAAGTTAACCCAACTTCACATCACCTTCTTCAACGCTCATACTCCCTATACTCAATAACACGCCCCTTTCTTCAGGGCCAGAATACATCCCCAGCACTACACGCATGCTTTTCGAGCCGACTAAAATGGTAAGGCTCAATAACTTGGCTGATTGCGTGTCATCATACCCCGATTATGTTGATCGTTGGTCATGCCTTCACCCACAGGTTTACCTATTATTTACAGGCTATCATGACATAGCAGGAATACGCCATCTTCCCGAGGCTGACTGTAAAAGTCGAGTTTCCACCCTTGCCGAACTAGGCTGGAATGTCTGGGCTCGATTGTAGCGCCATCAGTGGCTTTTACGAGTTATGTCCCTTCTTTGTCCCTTCTATTGACCAATCAGATTCCACCTCTCGTATCACTTGCATTTTGTTCAAACAAAATCACTGCTTCTCACCAGGGGTCTGATGGAGCAGAGTATATGCACCAGGGTCCTGTTCCACAAAACGATCTTAGCGCTAAGATGGTCGTAACTCCTATACTTTACCATTAACTTTCGATGACATTGACCGTCGTAGATCTAAGATCGCTTTGTGGAACGGGGCCCAGGGTTTTTCTTGTAATCATATATACTGAGAGGAGGTCACCAAGGTAAATTTAGTTGTTCCAATTGCACACAATGCTGTTATTATGTACATGTATCATTGTAGGCATGCTTCGAGGCGAGTGGTGCCGACAAAGAAGGAAATCTGAGCTCCTACTACCTCAGGCCCTTCCTCAACCTGCTCGGTGGGTAGTTGTGTCTTACACACGTCCTTATGCTATTTACAACTGGAGATTCGGGTTAGAATGGTTGTCAGTAAACTATGCTGGTCGGACGAGTCGACTTAATGGATGGGTTGTCAGAATCGGTGACTTGATTGATTGTATGTCATCGTATCCCGACGGCTTGGAACGCTGTCCATATCAATCACTGGTTTATGTGGTCCAAATTCGACTATTTACAGGCCACTATGATATGGCTGAAATGTTGCTGAGTGCGGCGTAAAACAACAAAGAAACGAATACACTCTTTACAAACAAATGTTTTGATAATGGTTGTAAGGTTATGGTTTATCTTTATTATGCAGACATGTTGACAGATTACATCTGGTATGTAGTAAATAATAATGTACACTTTATCTTTATATAACCTCAAAATATGGCTCTTTTTATAATATTACAAGGGGTCAATCATATGGAGAGGTGCTGAAAGAACTGAAGACTGAACCTTTATGTGCAGAACATTACTTCTGTAAACGCTCGTAAATCCTTCTGGTGTTAAGGTCTAATGTGAAGCCTATGTGACTATCCATTTAATAGTTTCATTGGTTCAATCAGGTTATCGAATCAGTAACGACACCCTACAGGCGTTGGTACTGCGCTACGTCAACAGGGACGGCAACATGGACTTCGGCGACTTCATCATGTGCATAGTCAGACTAACGAATCTCATTGGTGAGTGTGGGCATTCTAGGAAACGAGGCCTAACCATGTAACATCATATAAAATGGTTGTATCTTGCTAAATTCAGTCCAGAAATATGACTGGGAAGACACGTGGCATTTATTTTAATAGTGATGTATATCAGAAAGTTGCCTCTCTCTTCCAATTTCAGAAAAGTTTGAGAGCCCGGATGTAAAGAGCTCGGACACGAAGACGCTCGACAAGGTACGTTCTGTATACACGGAGAGATCCTCGCGCGTCACAGTGTGTAGATCAGATGCCTCAAGTCCCCGTTCCACAAAGCGATCTTAGCGATACGATTGTCTTGGGTCTATGTTAAAGTATGGGGGCCACGATCGTCTTGGCGCTGAGATAGCTTCGTGGAACGAGGCCCTGGTATCAACATACAACATGATAAGAGCGACGTTGTTGTAGGATATATCAGTTATCAAAGTGTGAATAATGTGAATAGTCAGTTATTATTTACGAAGGCGTCCTCACCGGGGGCTGTCCTCATCGGTGACTCAGGGGGCACGGGAGGCCCAGTCGTCTAAGGCGCCGCGATTCGCTGTGCAGAGTTGCGTCCCTTGGGCACGCCGGAAACCTATGATTGTGGGTTCGAATCCCGGTTCGCCCCGATTATGTTTCTAGGTTTGTCAGCACCATACCCGTGCTCGTGGGTTTTACAGAAGTGGTTAACGTCTGAGACCTGCATCACTTCGGGCTTTCCTCACACATTAAGCTGACACGCCGTGATATAACTGGAATACTGTTAAAAACGGCGTTAAACCCAACTCACTCACTCACTCATCGGTGACTCAGGAAAATTCTACACGTGTAACATATGTGAAGTAATTCATGAGTATACTCATAATATTGTTCCATTTCAGGACATACAGAATAAATTGCCAGATTTTGTGACGTAAATTTACTGTTTTCAGCTCCTTCGCGCCGCTCTCTACTCCTGATTCAGCCCTGTCTGCAGCCTCCAGGCCTGATCGCATCCACCCATACGTGAATTAATGCTCTTGTGTGAAGAGCAAGAGCGTTTTAAGTGCATTGTCATCGCTCCTCGTGAACAGGGTAGATAGATGTTCAAATTGTGATCCGGTTCCCTGTGTGATGGACGGGGGAGAAACTGACGCTTTATATCTGTTTCTATGAAATTATTGTGGGTATGTACGGTGTGTTTGATTGACAATACAATTCCCCATTTTAGAACAGGTGCTTATGATTGGTAGGTTTTACAGATATCAGGCTCGTGACAAGTGTATTGTTATCATATGGAAAGTAGAGTACTGGAAGAGAATTGGAAGAATTGTGATTTTAGTTAGGTATTTTACTGCTGGTAAGGCGACAATCAAAAGTGTAAATGTCTTCAAATGAGCACTTTAGTCGTTTGCCAACTCCGGTTTTGTAGTCTAGTAAAGATAAGGGCAGATTTCACCAAGACAAAAACTACATTGCATAGATTGACTAGAGAAGGTCACCTTAATGGGATATGGGCATTGTTCTCTGAAATGGGCAATAAGGACATGTTGACCGGAAATGGCCGCCAATGTCACCTTGACCGGACATAGCAACGTGGTCACCGGAAATGGGCACCAAAATCGGACGAAAGTCATGACAGCTGGTCCATCCGGAACTGAGCACTAGAACCTCAACACAAGGAGACCTGTCATCAACGTCAACACAAGGCTACCTGTCATCAACGTCAACACAAGGCTACCTGTCATCAACGTCAACACAAGGCGACCTGTCATCAACGTCAAAACAAGGCGCCCTGTCATCAACGTCAACACAAGGCGACCTGTCATCAACGTCAACACAAGGCGACCTGTCATCAACGTCAACACAAGGCTACATGTGATCAACGTCAACGTAAGGCTACCTGTCATCAACGTCAACGCAAGGCTACCTGTCATCAACGTCAACACAAGGCTACCTGTCATCAACGTCAACACAAGGTCGTGTGGCGTGTCTCAACAGGTATAGTCTCATATACTTTGTAGGTGTTATAGCCTATAGTTACTGCGGGACTGAAAACTGTACACATTGAACTGTTGGCAAAAAGTACGAACTGTCATGTAGGTAAAGTGGTAATGTGACAGAAAAGTTAAATTTTTCAGACATGTGATCGCTGCACCCTGTGTGAGAAAGCATGTTGAATATCATTAATGTCTTGAATTCTAATTGTCGCATGACCCGATGGACTGACGGGGATCCGGTGGTTCGCTCTGTGACATGCGCGTCGTCTTGTCCCACGCCATGGGTCATTCGCCTGCTTTCCGGAAACAGCTAGATTATTGCAGATTGTAGCGCTAACAATTACTGTTGAACAAGTCCCGACAGCAACCCATTCATGGAATTCCAAGAGCTGAGGGTCAACGTGATCGTTGTGCAATGTATTACAATCCTACGGCTATTCTTTCGGACTGTATCCATGAAATATATATTTCAATGCACTTCATATGTATATATTGGCCAGTAATAGATGTTTGTATTAGTAATACTTGGTGCTACAAAGCGGGGTAAAAGTGACTTTCACTTAGTACGGGTCAGGTTCTGAATTAGAGAGTGAGTGAGTGAGTGAATTTGGTTGACAACGCTTCGAACAGTATTCTCATTTTTGTTTTGGTAAATTTATCATCCAAAACTGGCTCCCACAGGAGATATCGCTTGGATGAGATCAAGCGATATCTACACTGTAGATATCGCTGCAATGAAATTACATCACAATGCTTTGCAGACCATTGTGACGTCACTGGTTACCATGACGTCACAATCAAATGACATCTCTAATGGCTCTGCTACTGAAGCTGTTTGCAGTATTTTTTACACTGAAGACACTGCTAATTACTGTCTACAAATTGAAAAAGTTGAAAGAATGATGTTGGATGATAAATAAAATCTCACCCTCGTGTCTTTTGATATCAAATATATCAACACTCGTTGATAAAAGTGTAAAAAATCCTCGGCAAGCCTCGGAATTTTTCCCCTTTTATCAACTCGTGTTGATATATTTGATATCAAAAGACACTCGGATGAGATTCTCTATATGTACAACGAGCAGACCTCGTGTAAAATTGAAGAGCTCTTGTCAGTTACCGTTTGAAATAAAACGTGTTATTATTAAAAAAGCCAGAAAACAAGAATAACAAATCTTATTGATTTGATGTGTTCAAACAGTCTATTTTGATAAATTCCCATTATTTTGTTCTTAATGATGGTACTTGTTTTGTAGAGTACATCATATCTAGTTATTTATTGATGAGTGTTTTTTATTTGTATTCGCTGCAAGTGCAATTGTTTTTGTTTTCACGATACTGTTAGTATTTGTAAATATTTGTAAGCAATGTCCCTTTAAGTTTTTGTAAATTATTTTGACGGTTTGTTTGTTGCAATCAAAAGTGTGACATACATGGTTTCAGTGAATGAGTTTCACCGCTTTTAACAGTATTCCAGCAACATCACGGTGGGGGACACCAAAAATGGGATTTACACATTTTACCCATATGGGGAATCGAACTTAGGGTAAATACCATTTTTCAAACTGAGTCTGTTTTGAAATAAAATCTTGTTTAAGTTTTTAAAGTTTGGAAATATATGATATAGATGTAACTTACAACACTGCAAATTGTATATACACACAACTTCACACAGTAATAAAGACGGGTGATATTTCAATACATCTTGTTTTTCCCCATTTAGTCGATACCTGGCCCGTGAAGATCCGGTGTAGAATAGGTCTTCAACAACACATGCTCGCCGTAAAAGGCGACTATGCTTGTCTTAAGAGGCGACTAACGGGATCGGGTGGTCAGACTCGCTGACTTGGTTGATGCATGTCATCGTATCCAAATTGCGTGGATCGATGCCCATGATGTCAATCACTGGATTGTCTGGTCCAGAATCGATTATTTACAGACCGCCGTCATAAAGCCGGAATATTGCTGAGTGCGGCGTTATAAAAAAACAAAAACAAAAGTCGTTACCTTGTCCAAATGTGATTTTTAAAAAACCGCTGATTTAAGACCACGAGTTAGGTGTTAGGTTCCTACACTGATGTATGCACAGCCAGGCAAAACACTGGAACACGTGGAGACCTCTGTGTAGATGTTGACATACAGATGACCGCTTGTGTGTTGAAAAACAGATTCTGAAAAGACGTATTGTCATCTCATCTAGGTATTCTTATATTGTTGCTGTTGGTGACATGTTCGGTGATGTGAGTATTGGCAACTATCAGATGGTTAGAGCCGGTCATTGAATAACGAAGACCAATACATCGGTGAAGACCTGGTGTCAAGTACCCACGGTTTCGCAGATATCATGTCCAGTAATATTGCTATACTGAACAGTATCCGTGACAGCCCGATCACCATTGCATTCCACTATTATGACAAACAAGAAGTACTGAAGACCTGTATTCCGATATGTGCCAGAGACTCGAATGTGTTCGGAAGAAACTGGCCAAATGTTTTACCAAAACCTTAACACTGACCTTGACCTTGGACGAATCGTGACCAAAAACTTGTCAAAGCTTTGTTCGTTTGTTGTTTAAGGCCATTCAGCAATATGACATCGGCCTACAAATATTCAATTCTGGACCAGACAATCCAGTGCGTGTTTCTTATTACGAGCATGATCCACACCCTCTGGGTGAGATGACATCCAATCAGCCAATTCACACAGTCTGACCTGATCCCTTTGGTCGCCTCTTACAAACAGCATAAGTAGTTGGGGACCTGTTCTGACCAGGAACCAGGGCCCCATTTTATAGCTTGTTTAATTATGAGATTATTAATACACTCGATAAAGTGTCACCAATGTTGAGGACCTAGTTTTCTTTTCCTTTGACCTTCTCGTGCCTAGCCAAAGGAATAACCCAGGGTCACTTAGAAGATGTCCATGGAAGGACATCGTTTTGTGAAAATAATCTCCACAAAACAGACAGAAGAAAATCACTGATGGTGGCAGTCAAGTTCCAAGCAAACCTTAAAGCAGTTCTGTAGCTGCAAACAACTGTATATCACAGGGGGTACACTCCCGAGGTTTTGTAAAAGAAAACAGTCATCAGATGCATAAATGAGTTTATAAATGTTGCTTAATGCTTCAACTTATACATAACAGGTGGTCATGCTCGCTGACTTGGTTGATGCATGTCATAGTTTCCCAATTGCGTGGGTCGATGCTCATGATGTCAATCACTGGATTGTCTGGTCCAGACTTGATTATTTACAGACTGCCGTCATATAGCTGGAATATTGCTGAGTGCGGTGTTAAACAACAAACAAGCAAAAAAAACAACAAAACCATAACTGATTCTGGACCAGACAAACCTGTGGTTGACATCATGAACAACTCCCCATGCCTTATAGTAACAACACACAATCAACTAAGTCACCAAGCCTGACAACCATTGTAGTCTCCCTCCTTTAACCACAGGTGGGGATCAGTGCTCTCCAGGCATCAACAAGGGGAAAATAATAACAGATGCTGAATGGTGGGTGAGGTGAAATGGGGTTTAATGTTGCCTCAAAGAATATTGCACTTATATAGCGATGACTGTGTGTGTCTGTGAGTCTGCTTGTACTAGTCTTGACTGATGCCGATTTTATAGTGCTACCCCACCGAGATACCTTGCCTCAGTTTAACAAGGATACATAACAAACACTATACCAACTCCATGTTTTATTCCCTTAATGCCAGGCACCAGATTGGTCAACAAGTACGTTTGTTTAACGTCCACTCGTATGACATGGTTGAAGATCGAAACCACAAACCTCCACTATCCCAGCAGACGCTCTATCCACTGGACCATGGAGGTGGTAGATGCTGAATGGAGTATTAGTAAATGTATGATATCCACATGTACTGACTTTTCTCGATACACATTGTACCCTGAACATTCTTAATTAGCATGTGAGGACATGAGTGGTTTCTTTGCTGCATTTTATCATGTCTCTGACACAACACCTGTTCTTGTTTGCATGTTTATTTATGACAAATAATGACAACTAATAACAGTTTCTGATAATCAGCAATTTTATTCTTATTACATGTATTTGTCTTGGACAAAACAATTGGACACATGAAGTATGTTACATTTGACATGTTTGCACACAGAAATATATGTGAAAATGTTATCACACTTTTCTATCCAAACATTAAAATTATGATAAATGCATCCGTACACTATCCATTCACACACCTATAAAGCACCATCACACAAATTTCCCATGTTGCACTGCTCCCTGGCTTCCACCTACATCGGCCACCGGCATGCAGGTTTCTCAAACTGGTCAATGCCACGTACTTAGAATGATTATTCCACCATAAATGACACTCATGGGATATTCTCAAACAGTGTAACAGCAGATATTTTCAAAGCATTATATAAAAAAAAAATTGGCCAAATAGATAATTTTGGCAATATTCCAGCAATATCACGGCGGGGGACACCAGAAATAGGCTTCACACATTGTACCCATGTCGGGAATCGAACTTGGGTCTTTGGCGTGACGAGCGAACGCTTTAACCACTAGGCTACCCGACTGCCCCTCAGAACATTTTGAATTGTTTGTCACAGCGCTGTGACAAAATACAGCAACAACCAATTGCATTTGCCAATATGTAAACCATGCTCCCATCACCATTACTCGTAAATGTTGTAAGGGTAATAAGTGCCTTGTTGAGAGACTTATTCTGACAAAGAGTGGTCTAAAGGACCGGAAACGAACCAGCCAGGAAAACAATTTTGCAGGAACTAGTCTTCCTTTTTATTTAAGAGTGTTTCTAAATTCATTATAAAACACAAAGCTAACAATATCAAAACAGTCAATATTTGGATATGACTGATCCATAAAGTTATGAAGTCCTAAATTCTCAGATGCAATGTCTTTCCCATGGATGAATAATCAGGCGGATGCAATATAGGTGGAACATAGACCTGCATCCTTCAACACAGTTATCTCCCCTTCAGGCTGCTGTTGCCTCATCAGTTGCCACCAGATGCCATCTGTGTCATGGTAGATCCTCCGTCAGAGTGCGTCATCTGATACTCCTGGAAGCGCTGTGAGATCCGCTGCGTCAGCTTCAGATACTTCTCCAAGCAGTTTGTTGAACAGCTACTCTGATAGGAGAAACAAGTAATTATCGTAAGAAATAGGGCTTACTGACGTTTTTACAAATATTCCAGCCACATCACATCTGAGAGAGAACAGAAACAAGACTTCACATACTATGCCCACATGGAGAAACAAAACTTGTCTTCAATATGACAAACCAAAACTTTACCCACCCGGCTACCCCACCTCCACCAGACTAGCCCACACTAAATGCCGACTTAATTTCTTAAAGCTATTTATTAATTTATTCAATGGCATCACAATTATGTACATTTTTCAAAAAATCTGTGAACTGAGACAGTTATCCTTGTTAACTATTTAAAAGATATGTTCTTGTTGAACCATGTCGACATTGTCACTTTCTGCCATTGATGACGATCACGCCTACCTCTCCGTCCAGCACCTTCCTGGTGGTAAAGTCATTAACACAATCCTGGAAACACTGCTCAGAAAGTTTGTTGTAGGAAGACAAGAATTCCCGGAACTGTCAAAAATAAGAATAATGCCAGGGTCAAACTTGCCTATAAGTTGCATCAAACAGAAGATGGTACATGACAATATATTGACAATAAAACAACATTGGAAGCTTCTAACAAGTATCCCCATGATCCCATATCTACCTTGTTAACCATGTTAACATGCATGCAAACATATCAAATATGCTTAGGTTAATACAAAAATTGAACATATTTGCCAAGATTACAATTTAAAGTAGCCTCATAAAAATGTTATGCATGTTTAGATATACCATGTATACAGTAAACTATGTTTATAACGAACACGCTTATAACGAACTGACCGATATGACAAACATATTTTTAAATCCCGAAACATTTGTTGCATATATATTGTTTATATGCTAATAAAGAACTACAGTTATTACAAACTAAAATTAGTGGTCCCTGTGAGTTCATTATAACCGTAGCTTACTGTTGTAGTATACTAATTAGTATGACAAAATAAAAACCTTTCACGTGTCTCGAAAGGAAATTAGTTTGAAGAAAAAGACATTCATTTCACCTGCCAATTATCAGAAGTGGTCCCTTTGAGTTTGTTATAACCATAGTTTACTGTAGTAGTATACTAATTAATATGACCAAATATAAACCTTTCACATGTCTCAAAAGGAAATAGGTTTGAAGAAAAAGACATTCATTTCACCTGCCAATTATCAGAAGTAACCCAGATTGTTCCTTGAAGTTTGAAATTTATTGAAATTGAAATACTGATTTATTTTTTAATGCTAATATAATACTATGGAGCAAACTGACCTGTTTAACTGTGCTCTCGGGATCCAATTGAGGGAAACCGCCAGGGGCTGCTGCCATCTCGATCAAGACTAGTAACTGAAAGTCATCATGTGAACAATATCTTATTGCTGAAGCCACAGTTAAAGTTGTAAACATCAATGACCTTCGTCACTTTAATGCTGTTGGCACATGTTTAGTGGTAAACTGCTTGCTTGCAATATCATGCTAGTTTCAAATGTAATTTGCTAGCATAGTGAGTGAGTTGGGTTTAACGCCGCTTTTAACATTATTCCAGTTATATCACAGCGTGTCAGCTTAATATGGGTGGAAAGCCCGAAGTGATGCAGGTCTCAGACGTTTACCACTTCAGTGAAACCCACGAGCATGGGTATGGTGCTGACAAACCTAGAAACATAATCGGGGCGAACCGGGATTCGAACCCACAATCATTGGTTTCTGGCGTGCCCAAGGGACGCAACTCTGCACAGCAAATCGCGGCACCTTAGACGACTGGGCCACCCGTACCCCCTGCTAGCATAGAAATGTACAAGTAGTCAAATGTACAAACATGGCCTAATGTTGTTTAGCTGTGGTTACCGTATTCTCTCATCTGCTTATTCCACGTTCACTTTCGATGAACGATGAAACAGAGCATGCATATTTGGAGGTAAGTGATTAACTTGATAAGGAAGAGATTGGTTTGAAGATTTTTAAATCATGAAATGATATATAGCCAATCAAAGATGTAGTAGTGCAATGTAAATCAGACAGCACAAATCTGCCAACTTTTCTTACGGGATGATATTAAACAGGGAATGGATGGGGGGAGAGGGGTCTACAGTAACACCAGTGAAATGTTGTATGACATGTTATCAAAACATGGGTGTCATAGGACAAAGATTAACCTGACATAACCATGAAAGAGACACTGAAGATGTCACCCCTATTCACATTCATAACCCAGAACAACTCATACACACCTTACATTGACACTGTAGAGAAGATAAATATTTTTAGATATTATGGGATGTTGCAACTTTCGTAATATTTTCAAGTTTAATACATATACACCATTTAAAATGCACAATAAGATAACTCTTTTATTGTTACGATTGCGCAAGTGTAATCAGTGATAACGCAATGTGTTGGAACTTGGAGCGTCTGCTTCCAACTGATCTGATCAGTGATCAGGACCGCCAGAGGTCATTATCATTCGGTCGGTTGTAAACATTACTTTGGTACCTATTTAATTTTGGTCACTCGACGCCATGAAGAGTTAGGTATGGGAAGATACCTACACCAAAAATACTTATTTAAAGTAGTTCGAGTTACAAAATACCTTCAATAAAGTCAAAGAAAACAAACATCAACACATGTTACGGCATGCAGCTGAAACTACCGGAAATAGGATAGTTAGAAAAGAATTTGTAATGTCGTGTTTCATTGGCTGCCATGGCAAGTCGTAAACTATAGTTTACATAATTAAGCTGGTGTTAGTAGGAATGGTTATGTTTATTTCATATATGATATACAGAGCCCATAACATTATATATAGATGTGACGTTATGCTAAAGTTATCATCGTGACCAATTACGACACTGCCGTATATGAAAGTAATAGCCAATCACAGTTACTTTAACAAAACGCATACATAGTTTACAAACATGGCCGCAAAAGAGAGGCAAATATAAGTCAATGAGAAAATTTTATGGATTACATCTCAGTGGCAAGTATTATTTCTTACTATTCTTGTTTTTTTTGTACTCTGACACTTAAATGACTTAAGGCTACTTAATGTATGAGGCACTCAAACCCGAAATTAATAGAATTTATGGCTGTGAACATTGTTTACTCGTTTCCCATAGGCCTCGACTGGAGTGGTAACCGATGTCAAAATTGTCACGGTCTCATATGAATATGTTGATGTCAACGCCTTGACAATTCTCCAAACCATAGAATGATGCACCTGTTAAAAAGGGAAACAAATGGTCTATGTTAGGACTAGTCTTGTATTTTTGTTGGGGGAGATATCGGTCTTAGGACTGTGCATCATATTTTGCTTCCTACTCTGTCCGTAGCTCTGTGTGGCGGCAAGTCAATGTCAAAATAAGAATAGTTGGTCATGTTTATAGGGAGCAGTACAGAGATATGTTACCACAGTTTCATATCAGCCTAAGACTATGCTGACGGTGATGTTTATGATGTGGGTGGAACTTAAACATTGTCTCTTTATAATCATGGCAATCATTAATTGCTAGATTGATACATATCATAACATTTGAGTTAGCCTTTAAACAAAGTCGTGTCTTAATGACTTGAATCATACTTACTAGGACTTCCATGAGTGTCAGGTGGCCTCAGCCAAGCCAAAATCTTTTCCTTTGAAAGTCTACCTCTCTCGGTCAAGATCTGACAAAAATCTAGGCAGGTGAACCCTGAACAAACTTTGACTGCTGAACAGAATGAAGGATGGATGGGTATTTGAGCCAATCTGATGTCAGCTTGTAAAGAGTATTTGCTAAAGTAATTCTGTATTCTGTCAACAGGATCCAGTGTCAGTGGATTCTGCTTGGTATATCTCTTTAAGTACTCTGCCCTGGACTATTTTGAATCTGAACAAAAGAAAACCCAAACAAAACTCAAATGTTATTGTTCACTCAATAGTGTACACTGTCGGATGTAGAAGCACTCTGAAACAAAATTTGGAATATGATATATTCACAGCATAACCCTGCCATTATATTATCCATTCACAATTGTTCCACTAATGACACACTTTAAAACAGTTTTCCTATGGACATCATATCATTTTATATCATCTCAAATTTGAAGTTTCTGCCTTAAAAATTTGTCTGTTTATCTGTTTGCAGGGATGTATCATGCCAGTTACATCAAATCATAATTTTGAAAATGAAACGGTCAAGATTCCAAGGCAGATGATTTGCTAACAATGGAGGTTGAAAACAATATGAATGTTCATGACACACACAGCAGCATCTTGGAGTTACTGTCTGTGACAGATGCTGCTGTGCGTGCTCTGGACAAGTCGACCAAGTCACAGGGATCTGAGAAATCACGAGATTCACATGATGGTTCACCTGCTTCTCAAAGATCTGTGAGCAGCAAGGCATCTTCCGACCTGGACAAATCCAAAACTTTGTTGCGTAGTAAAGACCTCTCTGAACACTTGCAGACTGAAAGTGGCATTGGCAGATCACAGCCTGTGTCTGGTGACAGGAGAGGTATAGAAACAGGTGGGAAGAACGCTGCACTTGGAAATGAATCTGACAACAGTACCACAGCCAGTGATGTCCTCATAAGTTCAACTCTGGCTGACCCAAATGACAGGGCTAACAGAAGTTTGAATACTAGCATAGCATCAACACATTCAGCTCGGAACTTGGACAACTTCAACACCTCTGGAGCTCAGAAGGTGAAGGTGTCAAGGAAGCAGCTGAGAGAGATCATCTCACCTCGAGAGTCAGAATGTGGACCACCACTTGTGTCGAGGCAGCAAGAAGCACCATCAAGACCTCCAGCAACTTCCTCAGCCTACTCACGCTCAAACTCTGACATGTCAGCAGCATCTAAGATACAGAGTGGGAAACATACATCTACTGAATCAACGCCGTCGGACAAAGTGAAAACTTCCAGACCTGCTTCTAATGTGTCAGTGCCCTCAAGTAAAGTTATCTCGCGTCCCTTTCCCAGTGCACACTGGAGTGGTCAGGAAGGGAAGACCCGGCCTTCCCACAGTAGTTCCGACAAGGTCCTGCAGGAGGACAGGACAAAGCTTCCTGTGGAGAAACACTTCCCTGCCTCAAGTGGAGAGCGTATTGTCAATGTCAGTCTGACATCACAGCCCTCAGACGATGGGACATTGAAAACAGGAAGTGCAGGTGGGAATATCATCAAACATTATTTTTCATTTTTCAAAGTAACTGTTAACTCTTGTAACTTGCAAAAATCCAGTAATGATAGTTGTCATTGGCTAGTTGGATTTGAGGGCTATAATCAGTTTTACTACAAATTAGAACTGAATAAAACTGATAGAAAATGAAAATATGGAAAACGTTTTTGCCTTGTTGAAGCAGGACAAGCATCAAACTCTGGGGACCAGTGAAATAAGGTCTCCACTAGTCTTCTTGACTAATCTAAGACTGACAATGTCAAACATATGTCATCACCATGTTTATGATCATTGTACATGTTAATGTAATGAGTGAGTGAGTGAGTTGGGTTTAATGCCGCTTTTAACAGTATTCCAGTCATATCACGGCGTGTCAGCTTAATGTGGGAGAAAAACCCGAAGTGATGCAGGTCTCAGACATTTATCACTTCGGTGAAACCCATGAGCACGGGTATGGTGCTGACAAACCTAGAAACATAATTGGGGCGAACCGGGATTTGAACCCACAATCATAGGTTTCTGGCATGCCCAAGGGACGCAACTCTGCACAGCGAATCGTGGCGCCTTAGACAACTGGGCCACCCGTGCCCCCTAATGTAATGAAGAGACCTGATTCAAATAAGATTCCAAACTGTCAGATTCAACATGGGATCAGATTAAACATGTTAAAGTGATTTTTGGAGGATTTTCGAGAAATAACATTTTTCACTTCCTGCTAGCCTTAGTTGCTTTGTCAAATGTTAAATAAGTTAAATTTATTCAGAGGGCTTGTTAGATTTGGAGCTTTTTATAGAAGTTTTTAATGGTGTGTCCTTACCATAGTGTACATTTTAAGTTGTATGTTCCACAAATCAGTTGTACATGTTGCATTCATTACAAATTTTAGGAAATTTTATTCAAAATGGCGTGATGGATTAACTGTAGTCATATGAAAGACTAACGGGATCGGTTGGTCAGGCTCAGTGACTTGGTTGATGCATGTCATTGTATCCAAATTGCATGGATCGACAAATGATCGATGCTCATGATGTCATCCACTGGATTGTCTGGTCCAGACGGGATTATTTACAGACCACCGTCATATAGCTGGAATATTGCTGAGTGCGGCGTTTAACTACAAACAATACTTACATATTTTAGGAAATATATACTATTCAAAATGGCGTGACGGATTAACTTTAGAATCGTGTGTTCTTGCCAGGTCTGACACTTAAAATCTCTTGCATTGAAATACTTTGTGTTACTGCATGGTTTAACAGCTCCGTGTGATATGTCATCAGGTAATGTGAGCAGTTCCACAGCCAGCTCCCAGCCCGAGATTGTCACTGTCCCAGAGAGGATTGTGACAGTGTCAGCAACAAACATCTCTACAGGAACATCATCTGACGACTCAGTGGACACTGGAGCACATGCAGGAGGGAAAGGTCATGTGACCTCACGATTTTTGGCACTTAATAAGGTGAGAAAAAACAAGCAACAGGGGAGATAACCCATGACTGCTACACTCATGCATGTGCTGCAGCAGTTGATTTTGTTTATGGTGGAACACATGGAAGAGGTTTAAGTCATGTGAACTCACAATTTCTGGCCCTTAATAACATGTAATGTCAGATGCATTGTTTAAATTTTTTGTGGTAATAGAGTTATGTCCCTTGGCATAATCAGCCTGAAGTTATCTCAAAAACATCCTATCGTTATCATATACCGTATATCCCTGTGTATAAGGCAAGTTTTTCGTAAGCCTAGTTAGTTACAACATAGTTAATTGGTGATTAAATTACTCACCATTGTCTCTTATATGTTATTACTTCATAAATGAATTTTATTTTATGGGCACCAATTTGGTGTCGTACCATGTAAACACAAAATGGCAACATTTGCTGGAGTTACACACACGACCAATCATCGTAGAAAAAACAATGCAAGATAAACATATTTTTATTGCATATATAAGGTTTGTGCACACACTTGTGATGTGCTTCATTCAAGGTCACTTTATACACGGAGTATAGGATTTTGGGTTGATTTTGAAGGCGTGTACAGGGGGGTGGGGTCGCTTTATACACAGCGATATACGGTATATGGCAATGACCATGGGATTTACAATGTAATTATCAAGGCAACAAGTGAGCCTTTGTTTATAATATTTAGAGATTGCAAACAGTTATCCTTGTTATATTTTCTAGATGTGAGTGAGTGAGTATATTTTTGCGCTGCTTTTAGCAATATTCCAGTAATATCAAGTAGGGGGACAGAAATGGGCTCCACACATTGTACCCAAGTAGGGAATCGAACCTGGGCCTTCGGGGTGATGAGTGAACACTTTTACCACTAGGCTACCCCACCACTCCTTTTTCTAGAAATGACAAATTCAGCTGCCTTTGTTTTTGGACTTTCACTCCTGTTTTCATAGAGATGAATATTTGCTGACATAACATAATTACAGAAATACAATTCTTTTCAGCCTGGTAGATCTTAATTCATATGTTCAATTGTAGATGTGTACAAAGTTTATGAAATTCAATTCACAAGCTCTATACACATAAGTAAATGAATGCTTTTATAGGTGGCGCTTTCAGCTTCAAATGGCCCCCTCGGGCCATCCTTGATGTGTTTTGTATGGATATTATTATTATAGAAGGGTTTTCTCCATGGTTTTTTTTCATGAGTTCAAATTTCTATACTTTGTTTTTTATCTGACCTTTGTTGTGCTCGTAGTTGAACGGTCTACGCCAGGGAGCTCTGACCCACCATGATACAGAGGCGGGGCAGCATGGAGGGAAGGGTGACGTCTTCATCTCCGAGTTCAGGCTGACAGACAAACAGAGGATGGCCAAGGAGGCTTTAGGGAAAAGGTGATGTGTACCCAACTCTACTTGTCTCGTCTCACATGGTACTAACTGTGAGGTACTGGTGTCTAAACGGCAGTCAGTCAGGTCACTATTTAATTAGATTCTACCAATCAGCCTGGGATCTGTTCCACAATGCGATCCTAGCCCAAAATGATCGAGAACCTATGTTAAAGTATTGGCGTTATGGTCACCTTAGCGCTAAGATCGCTTTGTGCAATGGGCCCCTCGACCAGACAAACCAGTGATTGATAGCATGGGGAATGATCCATGCTGTGATGTTCTGAAACATTCAACCGTGCAGGGATAGAAACGTCCACAAGTCCGTTAGTCTGAGACTAGGGAAAAATCTAGAACTAGTTGTTTTCTCACCAAATCTAGTTATTTTATATAACCACAAGTCTAGAACGACATCAGACTAGTTGGATACGACCATTGCTGTCTACCCCTGCTAAGTCACAAGATGCACTGGTAACCCCCAATCCATTCTCATTAAAATCAGATCTTAGTTTTCGCTACTGCTAAACAGAGATCTGAGGACATCCCATTACGGATCACGTCAGAACGACCTTTCGTGAATTTTGACCGACCAATGAAATGACTGACAAGAAATCGACATTGGCCAATCAGATGGCAGCTTTCTCGAGCTTTACGGCACTTGTTTCAAACTGGCGACTACGCTTCAAAACATATTTTGACGTATCCTCGATTAAACATTTTAAAACTAATAAGAAGAACATTCTGGAATGGCTTATAGATGGCCTAGATTGTATGGATATAATCATAAAACCCGTAACTGTCGTTCGGAATTCCCCATGTTAAATATATGGTGGCTGCATGATAAGAAAACACATTCCGACTGTCACTTTCATGATCTCGTAAGCGACACTCTGATTGGTTGGATGAAAGGTCGTTCTGAAGTGACCCGTAATGGGATGTCCTCAGATCTTTGTTTAGTGATAGCGAGAACTTAGATCTGATTTTAATGAGATTGCCCCCCAATCTGATTTTGGATAGGTCATCAAGCAGGGGGTACTGGGTAAGTGCCCTGGTTTCTCCATGGGATAATAAGCCTGATTTGGGTTGATAGCAAACCTCATCTTGCAAATGGTTTAATTAATGATGATGCATGGAACGGGGAAGTTATTGTTGTTTGTGTTCTGTCTCGTACCGAGGGAAGATGGTGCTTTACTAACTCATGTTCATCCCGTTACAGGAGTGAGCAGATCGGACCAGTGAGGCGGATGGTGCAGCCGAAGTTTGTCGTCAAACACAACTCGGCACCCTCCCAGGGGGAGAAACAAGAGACTGGGGAGAAGACGTCGGAGTGCATCACTGCCGCTGTAGCTGCCACTGCCGCCGTAGCTGCAGCCCAACCATTCATTAAGGTGGGTTCTCACCCTGGTAATACACTTTTAAATGTCATTAGACAATCGATCCTTCAGTGTTCATTCTCGAGCATGACACATCTATTTCAGTTCTGACTCGAGAAGTTTTATGTATGTGTCAGAACTAGGCTGCAGTTATGATTGGCTTGCGTTAACATGGGTAAAGCTCTCTCTACCATGTGTGTAGGCAAGTTGGATCACAGAAACAAAATAAAAGGGTGGCAAGGATTTTAAAGCATATTTTATAAAATTAATCCAAAACAATTATGGAAGTAGACAGGTCTGCTAGTGTCCGCTGGGATTGACCATTTAATCAAAGAAAGGTAGTTGTCTGTGTCTTTGGCTGTTTTTAAAGTGCCCCCTCACCATTTTGGGCCACCAGAATGAACACTGACTCCTCCAAAAGTTGTAACTGCCTGAGAACTAACCGTTATTTGTCTTTCAGCCATATTTCCTATTTAGGAACATGGAACAAACTAAATATGTATTTTCCAATTTTCTTCTTAGTGTTAATGTCCTCTATCATTTGACTTCAGGCTCAGTATGAGCTGGAGGACAAGATATCTCAGCTGATGAACCGCATCACCGAGCTCCAGAAGGTGGAGACGAAGGTGGCTCCCCCTAGTGAGGAGAGTAGCCGTGTGGCGGAGCTGGAGAGACAGGTGTCGGACCTGACGGAGAAGAGGATTGACCATCTGGAGAAGCTGCAACAGCAGCAACTGGAGATGCAGGTGCAGCAAGTTTCTAACAATTCCTCGATATCACAGCCATGTTCCACAAATGTCTTTATCGCTTAGATGAACGCAACTCCTGGGGAGTATGTGATCCACATAACCATCTCATTCTGCCAGGGGGCGGCACGGGTGCCCAAGTCGTCTAAGGCGCCGCGATTCGCTGTGCAGAGTTGCATCCCTTGGGCACGCCAGAAACCTATGATTGTGGGTTCGAATCCCGGTTTCGCCCTGATTATGTTTCTAGGTTTGTCAGCACCATACCCGTGCTCATGGGTTTCACCGAAGTGGTAAACGTCTGAGACCTGCATCACTTCGGGCTTTCCTCCCATGCTGCGATATAACTGGAATACTGTTAAAAGCGGCATCAAACCCAACTCACTCACTAATTCTGCCAGGTACCCATTTGCTTCTATGTGAACAGAGCCAAAAATTGGTTTGGAGAAACAACATGTGTTTCAGTGTGGGGCGAGATCAAATCCTGACCAGCACTAAGGACACCTGTGAAGATCTGCATTCGAATTGGTCTTCAGCAATCCATTTCTTGTCTTAAGAGGCGACTGACTGCATGCCGTAAGAGGTGTCTAACGAAATCAGGTGGTCATTCTCGCTGACTTGGTTGATGCATGTCATCGTATTCCAATTGCATAGATTGTTGCTCATGGTGTCAATCACTGGATTGTCTGGTCCAGACACGATTATTTACAGACCGCCGTCATATAGCATGAATATTGCAGAGTGCGGTGTCAAGCAAACAAACAAACAAACAAATCTGAAGAGGAATGTTAGTCCTGTATGGTCTCCAATCCTCATACTCTCTGTCACCAGCTTTGCTTAACTTCATCTGACGGGGTAGAACAGGTCTTCGGGAACCCATGCTTGCAGTAAAAGGCGACTTTGCTTGTTGTAAGAGGCGACTAACGGGATTGATGCTCATGATGTCAATCACTGGATTGTCTGGTCCAAACTAGATTATTTATAGACCGCTGTCATATAGCTTGACTATTGTTGAGTGCAGCGTTAAACAACAAACAAACAAATAAACAAAAACTTCATCTGACATTCACTGTTTGTCCTTGTACACACAGAATTTTTCACTTAGATATGTAGAGACAAATTCAAAATGAACTTTTATTATCCCTTCCATTAACAGATGATGGTTCCTTTTACTCTCATATAAGAAGTTATATTTTATCAGACATAAGATTAATTTTGAAGACCACACACTCAAAGTGTAGAATTAGGTGTCAAGATAAGCAGATTGTTATGTGGAGGCTTCAAGTGTTCAGGTTCTTGTCATTGTATCTGTTAAGATTCTTGTTAAGATTCATACATTGTGGGGACGGTGGGGTAGCCTTGTGGTTAAAGCATTTGCTCGTCACACTAAAGACTCAGGTTCGATTCCCCACATGGGTACTTTGTGTGAAGCCCATTTCTGGTGTCACCCACTGTGATATTGCTGGAATATTGCTAAAAGCGGCGTAAAACCAAACTCACTCATACTTCATGTACTTATGGCTTGAAAAAAATGTTATTTAACAAGTAGAGTATTCCTGTGCTGAAATTAGTCCAGAGAATTTCCAGGCTTTCCCATTCAGTCAGATTGCAGTACACTCTCTCCTTTGTTTTACAGTAGATGTAATATTAGTCACTTGTTTTCTACAAATACCGTATTTTCTTGACTATAGTGCGCACCCATGTATAATGTGCACCCCCCTCTAGCGGATTCAATATTTTGTAAGTGTCTACCAGCAAAGCTATAGCCTTGTGATTCTGTGAAATGAAACACTGCTCATGCTGTCGGACACTACCAACATGGCCAGGATGGCCAAGGCATTGGTGTTCTCAATCAACTTCATTCACGTTTTCTTTGTCAGGCTAAACTGTTCATGTCTGAGGGCTATAGAGCTGGTCAGCCTCAGAGACGAGGCACTCGCACCCCACCACCGACAGCTGGCACCGCCCGATCATCTCCGACCTCAGGGGCACGCACACCGGAAAAGTCCAAAAAAGCCTTCAGCAAGTCTAAGCTGTATGTGCCAGCTAAAAGTCGCAGTGACCAGAGTTTTCGGAGTCAGTCGGAGAAGTATCAGTCGGAGACAGAGGAATTGCGGACCTCCCCCTTGGACACCCCCGCACCCAGGACGCGTCCCCCGAAGCCGGCAATATACGAGTCACAACCACAAAAAAGTAGGATATTTTTTAAGATGACATCACTTGTTTTGTTAACTTGAAATCACAACCTGCTTTCCAAACAAGTTATACCCAGGCTTGTTGTACTTACTGACAATGCAGTTCACATTCACATGTGTATGTCCTTGCTCTAGATCGTGGCCTGTTGGAAGAGATCCTCGCCGGCCAGGATTCCCCTGACCGGAGCTCCCTCTACTCCGCCCGCCTGGCCCACAGCCCTCCCACCAAGCTGGCCCGTGATGTGGAGACCTCAAGGTAATTGTCTTTGTCTGGTTGTATTTCTCTCCTCAGCTTCAGGATCCAGGATATTGTAATGGTGTGTGTGTGCAAACTGCCCATGTCTGGAGTGAACATGGTGAATGCACACACTTAGAGGAGGTTCTGACATAGGGGGACTGAAAAAAGGGGGAGGAGGTCTTCACTTCCCATCCCCCCAACACATACACATACACACACAAGCACACACACACCTTCTTCTCCAGTGCACTTCCCCACCCTCTCTGGGCATTCAGGGTAGAATATGACCCTAATTCACCATCTTTTCATGAGAAGCTGTTAAAATGGAGACTGTATGCTTAATATTTTCTACCATGCTGATTGTGTGTCATTGTACAACATGAAAATTAGCTCATGTCACACAACTGGTTTGGGCTGTTTACAAGCTGCTGTGGTAGAGATGAAACATTGTTGACAGCTGTATAAACAAGTGGTAAACCAACATTCACTCCCTCCTCCCATACAGCCTCAAGTAAATGGGTGCGTGAATGTTGTTTTATGGCACAGGCAGTTTTCCAAATGGCTCCCGTCCTGCTCATGACAAGCATGGATCACAAGGATGCTATCTCAGAGAATCCCACAGGGTGTCAGAAGCCATACTGAACCAGTGTTTGACCTCGCCATGCACACAAAAGTCATCGATTGTACTGAAAAGTTCATAAGGCTGTTCTTTGCTTTGTGTATCTGTAACGTTTGAAGTGCTTGATTCTGATGAAAGTGCAAAATGACTTACTTCATGCAAATCTAAATCCAAGTGACATATTACACATGGCCCATGCCATTCATGTTGGCCCTTGTGTCTTTGGACAACTAGATATCCTGTTTTCATGGTGTAAAGTTTTCTTTTTGTCACCATGGTGTGGTGTTTGATTAACTTAAACATTAGGATACTGGCCGTACATATGCAAACATTTCTACTGATTGGTTTTGTATTTGATCATGTTTTCTGTTAAATAAGAAAAAAATCAAATTTTGAAATTATTTGATAAATTGACCATGTGTATGTATCATGTCAGCAGTAAACTAAGAGAAATAAATGGGATTTTATTACATGAACACCTTGAGGATTTAACACCCTGAACCAGTCTCTGACAACTTCTGAACAGTATGTTTTCAAAATGCAGTCATTGTTGACCCAACTGTATGGTTATGTGTGCTTCTGAATTGTGTTCCAGTTCTTCAGTTAGTTGTCACGCTTTTGTTACACACCATCTCAGTTACATCTGCTGCTCTATGACGTTGTTGTTGTTGTTGTTGTTGTTGTTGTTTGTTTCTGTCACACTGTTGTTCTAGGTGTGTCCAGGTAGGTTTATATTGTCCCAATGTCAAGTCAGCACCAAGATCGTCTCATCTCATGGCGTGAAGAAAGAGAGCATTATATTTCAAGACAAGCTGTTGGCACAACACATGTTCAAATGTCTACAGACAATCTAAGCCTCTGTTTAATGTTTGTTTTCTACCATGGATTGGTCAATCAGAGGTTGTCAAATCACAAAAAAACCTTCTGAATGAAACAGCCACATGACTGTGGAAGCTAATTTTCATAGAATAGTTCTTTTTTTCAGTCATTCTCGGTAGGCATATTTAAATAATTATATCTACAATTTTAAGTTACAAAACACAAAATTAGTGTTACTACAATATTAAAAGGATGTGTGGCAATACATTTCGTGCAGAAAACACAAAAATAATCCACTAAGAGAATGTTGTTTTAAGTTTGGGGGACAACAGAGAGCTTGGAATTTGGCGCTTTTCTATATACAAAATATCTTTTGTGTCACAATGAGTGATATGACGTCATAATGGTGACGTGCGGTGTAGAACAAAAGCTTTGCAGAGCTTGCTTAGTTTTCTTCAAAGGTGCCCACCTCATGTTAGCTTACCAAGTTGCCTTGCTTATGTGCTTTCAATGCCTGGCATATGTTCGAGTGAAGTATTATGGTGTAAACAAACTGCTTGAGTATATATCATGTATACAGTGCCATAGTTGTCAGTGATTCCGTAATTCAGATCGACAACCCACTCAAGACACTGGACTCAACCCATGTCGCTTCACTCAATATATTTGCTAAGACCAAAGAGTTTGCGTTTTATCTAGTCTGGTGGAATTGAGATAAACATACTTTGGTTCCAAATTCCATTTAGCGTGGTTAAATCTACAGGTAGCCCCCGTCCTACATTGTAAACACAGTATGTTTATCTCCTGAATGAACTGACTCTTATCAATCATTTCATTCGTCACCACTCGCCCCCTTTCCGTAACCTGCAAGAAGACTCGTCCCCCTATCGATGAACGTTATGTGCGAAAATACGACAAACCAATCAGAATGCGCGCATGATTTCAAGTTCTTCGTCAAAGAATCCCTCAGAAATAATTTTTGATTTGACATATGTCTTGCATCTAAAAATATACACAAGACACAGTTACATGTGTTCAATCATACTGTATAATTCCACATGTCCCGATGTGCTTTAAATTGCATCTGAAATATATATAATATATGGGGAAATATATGTAAACCATTACGCAACGAGTTGACAGTTGTTTTAGGTATGCCGGTTTGCGCTAAGACTGAACCCGGTTTAGAAAAATGGACATGAGAGGGGCACGAGTCGCTATTCGGCTTGTCCTGGAATAACACAAGTTGGTCACGAATGCAATCATTTGTGTGCAATGTTAAGACCCATACTGATGACAAGAAACGGTTGATCCAACACAAGTAGTCTGATTCCATTTACCGGTATACAGTCCACATGGTGGGGCCTCAGTGAGGCTTCCAGGAGACAACAGATCTCAAATATCCTATACTTGCTGTTAGAGATGACTGGCCTGAGGGTTGTGTGGTTACGATGTGTGACTGTGGCAGCATGTCACTGTACCCTGATGGAGGTTTCATGCTCATGATGTCAACCATTGGTTTTTCTGGTCACTTTCAGGCTACCATGATATATTTGTATAATTTCTGACAAGTTAAACTGAACTCACTCTCTCACTATAGTTCTTGTATTCACACACATGCACAGAAGAAGTGGGACAGTCTCGATGTACGACATTTCACTTGTCACATTAAGGTCCAGGTTTGATCCCTGTCTTGGGCCTGTGGGGTACAGTGTGTGACGACCGCCTCCGTGGTCTAGTGGTAGAGCGTCTGCCCGAAGAGCGGAAGGTCTGGGGTTCAATCCCCGGCTGCGTCATACCAAAAGACGTTAAAAGATGGTACTCCCTGTCTGGCGCTCTGCATTAATGTGCTAAAACAAGGACTGGTCGGCTCGGAGTCAGTATACTGTGTCTGAGTGGGGTATTCATGTTAAACTGCGGCATGGTATCTCAGTGAGCTAGCACTATAAAGCCACACAAACACACACACGTACATGCACGTCGCTATATAAGTGCAATAATCTTGGACGCGACGTTAAACCCCATTTCACCTCACCTACAGTGTGTGACAACCATTCTTGATGCTCTATACATTTCTGCATAACTGCTGAAGGGGTTGTAAGGCCATGTTCACTGAAACTCATAGTGGCAACAGGCATGCGAGGTCATGCAAGACATGGGTGGCACCTGGCTGGTTTAGAGCTGTACTACACAGTGAGTGAGTGAGTGAGTTAAGATTTAAAGTCACATCGGCAATATTTCAGCCATATCATGACTAAATCAAGTTGTACATTAACAATACATATATATAGACATTAAAATCTGCTGACAAAGGACAGTGAAAAAACACTAGACTATCACAGATGTAGATTTAAAACTAGCGTATCATCATAAAATTTGAACAATTCATAACAGTACACAATAAAAATGGGCTATAGATCACCAATAACCATACTTGTGGTGCCACATTCTACATTATGATTCTGGGAGAGTACGGTTGTAAAGTAAGTCAGAGTTGATCAAGATTTTTCATAACTTGTAACAAATTACTTTCATGAGACCTTTCATTTTATATAAGTTGCTTCACAAAATTTTGAGCCTAAGATTCAATGTAGATGGTGAAAAAATAATTATTTATTTTCAACTTCCAGATTAATACTGCTACAAATGAATGAAAAACAAAGAAAGAAAATTGGTTATGTTTTGCTTGAAATTAGATTAAAGATTATTACACGTAATTATTCACCATTTCTTACGAACAGTGATGATTAAATATTGTGTTTTCTTTTCATTTCACAAAATTGTAAAAAACAGAGTCAGCCAAATAATGTTCGTCAATTTTTTATTTATTTTTAAGTTCAGGGTTATTTTTGTCGGTTGGTATTATTAGCTAACTAAACAAATATTTGAGGCCTGATTAACGAATGCGTGTATTGAGAGACCCTGTTCATGTCATGTAGCAAATAGGGTATACTATAAGCACGATAATCTCTCTGAATTCATTACCTGTATGATAATCATGATTATAGGAAGTGTACATGTCCTATCATCAACATTGCAGGTTATGGGTGGCACAGTGGTTGCCTATCACTCTAAGGCCTGGGTTCAAATCCCCACATGGGTACAATATGTTCAGTCCATTCCTAGGCCTCTGCCATAAACCCTGCATAAATCTCCCTTCCCACTCAACATACACTTGCCCATTAATTGTGCGGGGAAAGTACCCTGATTAATAAATTGATGCTAAAGTGAGTTAAACTGAACCATGTGGTGTTCTTCCTTTATATACAGAACAGTATCATGTATCTGCGTAAAATACGCATCAGAAATGCAGAAATACGCAGTAAAATAAAATCCAAGCGTATCAAATATGCAACAAACATTACAGATAAGCTACAAAAATAAAACTTGTGTGCATCATCAAAATATTGTGAAATAACCCTGCGTATTCGATTAGCAAATCAGCAACTTATTTTGAAATTATAAATGGGCATTCCGTCAACCTTGCCAAACTCCACGATGACAGTGACATCATGATCATTTGCCATCACACTTTCTTGTGGAAGTATCATGGTATTTTTTAGTCCTATAAAGCTCTCGA